GCAATTATTATATTTATAAATAACCGAGAGGCAGCGAAACAAAGGCGTCGGCCAAAGAATGAAAACCAAATAAATGCCAGACGCCGAAAAAGCCGCCAAATGCGCCAAAAAAATTATAATAATATTATTTCAAATTCAAACAAAAAGGAAAGCAAACACTTGTTGAGATAGCGATGCACTCTAGTTGTTGTTTTGCCGAAGGTCATTGGAGTTTATATCTAGACTTTTGGGAAGGGGTGATACTTTGTGAAATTCCCGAATGGCCAAAAGTTTTGGAATCCATAACTCAATTGTGGGATGGCATGAAAAATTAAGTATTTTATGGAAGAAGAAGTTGCTTAAATTCCCCATATATTACTTATCGTTAATGGGAAAATTTTGAAAATTATTTATGAGTTAGGAAAAATAGTTTTGATTTATTTCACAATGACATATAATTTCCTATGCTACTACAAATGCTTCATGCTGTCAATCAATTGTCGGATATGTAAAAAAAAACCCCTTATGTTTATCAATAAAGAACTAAAAAAAAGGTTATATTTTGCATACTTCTGACAAACCGGAAGTTACATACGGAATGGCGGAGGAAATAGCAAGATATGGGAATCCCAATGGAAAAGAATTGGAAGTGGTATTTCTGCTGGATTTTTATCGCTTTCAGTTGGATTGAACTTTGTATTCTCAAATTGTTAGTTTCTAAGGAGCAGCTGTAAAAATATTATATTTCTGACGAATCGTACGCGTAATTCTATATTTTATTTTATAGGGATTAGTTTGACATTTCGTAAGAGTCGAGTCTATTTTTGGCAATCTAAAGAGCCCTAATCTGTTTATTGGGTTTCAAAGACCTGACCTTAACTTTGGGGATCAGCGAATATAATAAAGATAATGGGCTCAAAAAAAAAACACAAGTGTAAAGGGGTAGAGTTCAGATTCCCTTTGTGCTGGGGGTTATCTTTTTATGATCCCGAACCCACATGAACTTCCCTCACCCCCCAAGTGCGGTGTTTGTTTGGCTGGCTTTTTGATTTGATTTGGTTTGTTTTTGGTTTGTTTTTTATCAAGCTAATTCCCAAGAGACCGCTCAATTGTTAGCTCAACAGATCTGGGATCGGGCCACTTAGTCTAACAGTAATCGACGCTAAACGCCGTCGTCTCGTTTCGTTTCGGAGCCTCTCGCTGATTGCTGACAACTTAATCAACGAAAAAGAGAGAAGCGACAGAAGAAAAGGCCATGCCAGCTAATATCTGGATCTGGGTGTCTATCTATAACACCCATATGAACATATATACACATTATATGTATTTATACACTATGCGATATATGGTATATGTGCACCCGCATTTAGACTGCGCTACTTATCTGCTATCTGCTATCTGCTGGCAGCCCCAGCGTCCCTGAACTTTGGGCGAGATCAATTTGCACTGTCACCAATTGGGATTGGAAAAATGCGAAATGTGTCAAAATCGGAGGAGTGAGGACTGGGTAGTCCCACAATGACGGATCTTTGTTCTAGACACTTGTTCTATGGGAAGTTCAGTTTCCTTTCCCTGCCTCCTTGCCATTATCTCGTCGCGGTTTTGCGGCGGAGGACTGTGAAAATTGCCATTCAACCGACTGAATTGATCATCTTTGTGCCGAAAGGGTTAGGAAAGCGAAAAATAAAATAATGTACCTACCATGACATAACGAAAACTACTGGCGAGCCTCTGTACTATTTTAACCTGTCATTTAGTGATATAGTACTTGAAAGTAAACTTTAGAAAGGGCCACAAATTAAATAATATTTAAAAACTATTATCTTGAAGACTTGATCAAATTTAGTCATCCAACATATTTTTATATAATTTCTTAGAAATGAAAAGAGTTGATAAAAATTATTTTTTCTACTATTTTTTAGAAGTTTATTGTTGTTCCAGATTTAGGAAACTTACTTCGAGCATCCAAGCATTAAAGCAAACAATCATTAAAATATTTTCATAATTTCACCACGCATTCGATTTCGAAAGACGTTTTTTGAGAAGATCTGAACAAAGCAGAGTAAAAATACTCCTCGTAAAGCCGGGAATGGGGTCAGTTTGGGGTCGACGGGTGCAAAAAACATAAATGTTTCGCCTTTTCGGGCAGCCGGCGGACATTAAGATTTTTAATGCACTGTAGTTTGAATAAAAAACTTTAGTGTGTCGCTAAGGCGTTCGTCAAACGGCGTTAAATTATGCCCACTAAATATATACGCACGTACATATATATTGGCCCTCGGCGAGTTTTGATTTATTTGCGCCGGTCTTCGTGCATTTTAATTGTATTTGTTTGGTCAAATTGTTGATTTAATTGACCACCGAAACGATTCGTTTGGCATCCGAAATGCAAATTGGATTGGTGTCGCCACTCGATTGGGCTTGGATATGCCCGATCAACCATGATCTATGGGCTAAATGCCCTTGCCCCCTCGAAATGCAAACAATAATCAAGTGTTTTTTGTGGAATCGTACTGGAAATATCAAGAGATTAATTGGGAAATACGAAACTCTATTTTTCTTATAAATCTGTTTTATAAAAATACATATCTCTTATTTTTTCCTGTTCCGATGCCTTGGAATTTCCCTCCCTCGATAAGAAGTCGGCTAAAGATGAAAGCCAGGCAATAATCTTAGCATTCCTCTGGTTTGTAAATATAATGGGTAATTAATATAGTGTGTACTCACATATTTAAAACATATGTACTGCGGTATTTGGGCATGGGTGTACTTATTATCGATATAGCTTGTCGGTCACTTCCCATATTTGGGGATCGGCCCACCCCACAAAACTATCCAATGGCCATAAATTTTCCAATTTCATTTCGGCTTTTCGAAATTATGGCTCATCTATCAGTCTTTACACGTGCGAATAACGACAGCCAATTCCAATTGCGATTTCAAAATTAGTTGGATGCCGGCTAATTTGGCTCGAAGGCGCTGCGCATGCGCCAAAACCAAAAGAAGTTGCTGGAAATTTAATTAAAGAAAGGGGGAAATTAATAGATTTTATTGAATAAATAAATATTGGGATCTTAATAGAATAGAATGTAATATATATAGGGTAAAAAAATTCCTAAACAGAAATGTCAGAGTTTTTCCAACATTTTCCACGAACTGTTTACTCAACTTGGTTGCCAATTGAGTAATTATCCTGGGCCAATGGCCACTACCAACACGCCACCTGTCGTTCGGTTCGGTTCCCGCGAAATGGCAATCAATAAAAGTGAGGCAGAAAGCAGGAAATATTTGCGGGTACTTAATTTGCTATCGTCATGGCATCGCAACTCTATTTTAGGTTCCATGTGCCATTTTTCGTGGGCGCAGCGAGGAACAAGTGGATCGTAAACCCCAATTGCAATCCGAATGCCTCATAATTGTGGTTTGTTCTTTCGGCCCACCGACCATTTAACGAGAACGAACCGAAATTAAATGCAGTTGACCCAAAAATAGCGCGAATGCCTGGCTGGCCAGTCCGCGCAAAATGGGCAACAGCAAAGTATTATTAACCAGGGGGAAAAAATGGGAAACATTAAAAAAATGCCCACCAAATAAAGGGTCAAAATTTCAGTTAAATAAAAAAATATATAAATTTGTTTTAAATATTTTTTCTTCATATTGCAATAACCAATTTTTATATTAATTTATACAAAACCTTAAGATAAGCTCAGGTTAACTGCTGGTTATATTACCCAGTAGTTAAATTGTAGCACTTAAAAGGTTCGAGTTGTAAACAAGATTGATTAACATAGTGCCTGCATTTGAGCACCCTGTTTTACGAGGGGCTTTCCCTCTGAAGCAAGTGTCGTCATCAGTGAGCGAGGGGGCTTTCGGGGGTTAAGGGGGCTGGGTGTGTGTAATGTGCAAGTGCGAGTGGCGACGTCAACAATTAGAAATGTAACCCAGGTCAGGACCGGAGTGCAAAAGGTGCTGCTCTGTCCGATGTTTTTTTGTATACTTTTTTATTCTGCCCTTTTTTTTTTGCGCTGCCAGCAATTAACCCAATTCCCGCGAGCAATGACTTTAACCCCCGTCTGGCCAACACCACCATCACCACCCATTTCCGCCCACTAAATCCCGAGAACCACGCGAGCTTACAATCACAATCACAACATTCAATTATGGTTATGGTCGAAACAACAAAAGGAAATCCACTCGCTCGATTGAGGAAAATGCATTTCCCACCTCCTCTGCCTCTGCCTCTGCCGCTGCCTCTGCCGGCGTCGCTGTCGGCGCTTGTCTGACCCATTTTTGCACGGGACACGCCCACCCAAGGAACAAGGGGGCGGTGGGTGGTGTCGGGTAGCCGAGCACACAAACCACATCCTGCCATCAAAGTTGGCGATGACGACAGCGATATAGTTGTTGTTTGAGTTGAAACAGTGGAACCTGCCTAATAGAAACTGGGGATATTATAAATATTATAAATGTAAAGAATTTGTAGTAGTTATTTGGTGATCTTATACATAAATCGGAGTTTTATATAAAACCATAATTTTTAAAATTTATAAAGATTTAAGTAAACATTTCTAAGCCATCAATTAAGTAGGAATTATAAACTTCTAAGATTCTAATGTTTTAAAAGCTTACAATTTCTGGGATTTTTTTTTTGATTTCTTATTTAAAGTATAAGAAAAAACAAGAAATCATATTCTTTTAATTATGTTTCTTTTAATATTTTGGAGGTTCTTTAGAGATTTTTGATATAGAAATTTAACATTTAAAACAAAACATTTTTATTAAAACTAGGCTTTGAAAAAATTTGTTTATTTGTGTATGAGCTTATGTAGGCTCCACTGTAGTTGTCGTTGCTGTTTGTCGATGACTGAGAATCGCTTGAGATTGTCGGTGCTTCGAGCGCTTTCATTTTCAGTTTCAGTTGGTGCTGAAGCCTGCTGGCGAAAACTGTTGCACATTTCCGAGCGCCCAGGATATTAACTGTTGCTTCTGTTGTCTCTTGCCTTTTGTCGCCCAAAAAACAGCAGCTCCTCCATCACAATCACACCGGGATCAGCGGGAACGGGAGCGGGAGCCGCAGCGGATGCCCACAAAATGGTGCACCACAGCAACGAGGATGCCATGAACAAGATACCACTGAAGTCCGCCGGCGGATTGGACTCCGATGAGGAGAAGAACGGGGGCGAGCTCATGCAGGACACTGCCGCCGCCGAGGAGGCGCGACGCGAACAGATGTGAGCATAAAAAGGGGGCATTAGCAATAACATTAACGTTACAAGTGTCCTTGGGGACTTTGTTGTTTGTTTACATGGAAATCGCATTCAAAAGACCATCCTCCTAGTAAATTTACAAGGACCTTCTTTGTAATCATTTAAAAAGGGTGTCTAAAAGTATGCAATAAAAACGTAAACGTTGTATTTTTCATCTAAAAATATTTTGTAGCATACTTTTTAGCACCTTTATAAGAGATCTTAAAGCAATTATTAATTTCTTCATAATTTATTTCGCAGGCGTGTCAAGGTTTTGGCCTGGATGAAGAAGCTAACCATCGTGCTGATCTGCTTCATTGGCATTGCCCTGATCAGCTACGTGATCATTAGCCTGTGTTTCAGTGGTAAGTTTGGGAAATCGGGCGAGGAAAATGGCCAACCACATCCAGATAACAATTCACTCACCCACTGCAAACTAATACAAAAATGAAAATAAGTAAAACTCGTTGAGTAAAAAGATATTGATTGTATATGTGTAGATGTATCGTATGAATGTATACCAAACAACAGACAGACTTTGGGACCTTCGAACCGAATTTAGTTACATACTAGAACCCTAGAAATATATAGAAAAATTGCTTATTCTCTGCATGCTTACTTCGATCCATCTTAACCAAGCACCTGGCATTTAATCTAGTTCAAAATAATTTCTTCTATTGTGGCACCAAAAAGTATTCACATGAACAAAACCCCAACCAAAAACTTTACACCCTAACTCACTAAACAACAACAACAACAACAACAACAACAACAACGAAGACTGGCCAAAATCGACACCGAATAGAAACAGCACAACAACAACAACGACGACAACAACAACAACAACAACAACCACAGAGGCAACCATTAAAACAACAGCAGCAACAGCAACTGAAATTGCACTCGCCGTTGCAACAGCAACAGAAATTGCAAGTAGCTCAGCACCACCTTTACCACCGGCAACAGCAACAACAATAGCACCATCTGCAACTTCAACAACAATTAGCACCACCAGCACAACAACAACAGCAACAACAAGTACAACACAACAACCACCAACAGCAACAACAACAACAGATAGCAATCCCAGCCCCACACTTAAAACATTTCATTTAACAGATGAGCAGCAACAGGACGAGGAAACGGAGAGCATTGGCAACCTGAATCTGGGCGTCTCCAGCACGGCAAGCACTCCAGCGGAGGACGGAGGAGCGCCCAATGTGGCCGCCTCCACGGCGGCGACCACAGCGGAACCACCCGCCTGGCTGGAGGATCAGATCAGGATCGATACCAGCGAGCAGTACGAGTCGATACTGGGTGTCTACCAGAACGGAGCCGTGAGTTCCGACAACCTCGAGTGCAGCAAGATCGGAAGGTAGGTCTCCTGTATTATATTTATGCATATTTTTAAAATTTTTTTGAAATCGGGGTCACCAAACACACTTTATAAAGGTTATCCCACCTAATCTTATTGGGCTTTAAACAAACTTTGTTTACAATTTTGTTATAAAAACTTTTTAACCTATCAAAAATAGGGATTGCTGAAGTAATAGCTTTTAAAAGTACAGTTTTGGGTCACCAATTAGGAAGACAATGGAATTTAAGTACCTATCTTAAAAATGGCCACAAAAATCCGATTTCAACTTAAATAATTTCAGTCAGAATATTAAGGAATTAAACAAGAACCTTAAACATAAAACGAGTAAAATTTTGGGGTAACCATAAATAAAGTGCTAACATAAAAAATAAGAGAATGAAAGTGGAATGTCTGTGAGGATTTGACTTTAACAAAAAATAAGTAATACATTTTCCATTTAAACTTTTTTAACCTACCTAAAATAAGAATAGATTTAGTAACAGGGTTTAGAAGTACAGTTTTGGGTCACCAGTTAGGAAGCCAATGGAATTTAAGTACCTATCATAAAAACTACAGTCAGAAAATTAGAGAACTAAAATTACCCCGTTCTTAAAGTGGAATTTCTGTAAGGAATTCCGACTATCATCCTCAGTTTTCAAGCACTTACACTCAACCTTGAACTCCTCCCCACAGCGGAATCCTGCAGAAGAACGGCAGCGCGGTGGACGCAGCGATCGCCGCTCTCCTCTGCAACGGACTGCTGACCCTGCAGAGCATGGGCCTCGGCGGCGGCCACCTGATGAACGTCTACAACCGGGCCGAGCGGCATGCCACCGCCATCGATGCCCGCGAGGTGGCGCCGTACGAGGCCACCGAGGACATGTTCGCCCAGCAGCCGGAGAAGTCCTACAAGGGACCCCTGAGCATCGCAGTGCCCGGCGAGGCGATGGGCTATCATGTGGCCCACGAGAAGTTCGGCAAACTTCCGTGGGCGGAACTGGTGGCTCCGTCGCTGGAGCTCTGCGAGAAGGGTTACCATGTGTCGCAGCATATGGAGCGGGCCCTGCATGCCGCCTGGAAGGAGATCAAGGAGCACGAGCAGTATCAGTGAGTAAACACTAGTCTACAGCGTGTGTGAGCGTTGACAGCGCAGCGGCAGAGTTCACAACGAACTTTGATCTAGAGATTTGAAATCACTTTCAACGTGCTTTAGAGTGACTTCAAAGCTTAACTTTTGACCAATAAAGGTTCTATTTAAATCTGTGATCTCGCTCTACAGGATTTATAGGAATGCCCAGACGGGTAAGCCACATGCCGCCGGAACGGTGGTCAAGCCGCCGAAGAATCTGTGCAAGACATACAAGCTGCTGGCCGAGAACGGACCCATGGACCTGTACAATGGAACGCTGGCCAAGTTGCTGGCGGACGATCTGAAGGACATGGGCAGTATTATTGTGCCCGACGACCTGGAGTCCTACCAGGCCGATGTGGTCAACTCGATCACCATGGACCTCGCCGGCGACACCCTGTATGTGATGCCACCGGTCAGTTCCGGTTCGGTGGTGGCTCACGCCCTGAGCATCCTGCAGGGCTTCAATTTCACGCAACAGGATCTTTCCACCGAGGAGCTGAGGGCCCGGACCATCCATCGCTTTGCGGAGGCCCTCAAGTTCGCCTTTGCCCAGCGTCCGGAACTGGGCGACATACACTTCATCGACACCCGGGAGCTGGTCAGCCGGCTGAATAGCCCCGACTTCGGTGACCAGAACAGGGCCAAGATCAACGACTCCCACGTCCTCAAAGATGCCGAGGCGTACGGCGCCAGCGTTGCCTCCAACGACGATCCCGATGGCACCTCGAACCTGGTTGTTTTGGCCCCCAACGGAGATGCCGTCGCCGTGACGAGCTCCATTAATTCATAGTGAGTCGAACTATAGAAGATCAAAATATTTAAATTTATGGACATAAGGGTGGAATGTATTCGGAAACTAAAAAATTGTCTTGTACAAATTACTCATACGACACGTATTCCAGTTAGAATTTTAAAAATCGTTTCACCCATATATATTCTTGTCAGCCTATTAAGTTTATTGGAATAATTGTTAAAAAAACAAGGAATGTTTTGTTGAAATCTACGCCACCTAGATTAAAACAAATTTTTGATTAAAAGCCAACAGTGCGTATGAGTGATTTTGAAACTTTGAAAAATAAGTGAGTGAGGGTAGGATTTAAATGAAATGAATAGAAAAAAATCGATGAAAAGGCATAGACTTTGGGATAATTTTGTTAGAATAAATTGAATGTCTAAATTTTATTTTTTAAACGAGGAAAATCCTAGTTCCCTTTAATGTTACGTTTTTTCTAACCCTTATAAGTATTTATATTTGAGGGTAGAATTTTTATAAAATGATTAGAAAAAAAAAAGGATGAAAAGAAAAAGACTTTTTTGATAATTTCGTTAAAATAAATTATATTTTTTATATGAGGAAAATCCTACCTCCATTTAATGTTACATTTTTTCTATACCTTATATTTATATTTCTTCTATACCCTTTCAGTTTTGGCTCCGGACTCATTGGCGAACGCACGGGCATTGTGCTGAACAACGGAATGAACGACTTTGCGGTGGAGAACAACTTCTTCGGACTGCCGCAGTCGACGGCCAATAAGATCGAGGTGCACAAGCGGGCGATGTCCTCGCAGTCGCCGATTTTGCTGGCGGACAGTGCGGGGAATATGCGACTGGTCATCGGAGCGGCCGGAGGCAGCAAGATCATTCCGGCCATCGTCGAGGTGGCCGCCAATGTGCTGTGGTTCGGCGAGGATCTGCGCAAGGCCATCGATGCGCCGCGGTTCTACCACCAACTGCTGCCCGATGTCCTTGAGTACGAGGAGGGTGGCTTTCCGGAGGCGCTGCTGGAGCTGCTGGCCAAGAGGGGCCACAAATTGAAGTCCATTTCCCGGCTCAAGGGATCGATTGTCACGGCCATTTCGCGGAATGCCACGGCCATCTATGCCAATTCCGATTATCGCAAACGCGGTGGAGTTGCAGGTTTCTAGGGTGATTTTTGAAAACCCCTCACTCATCCACCCACTCACTCACACACCCATACGTCACACACACACACTCGCACACACCACACTGCATTGAGATTAGAGCAGACCTTCCCCTGAGTCCAAAAAAGAGAGATCTATTAAAATTGAACAAGAACAAAAGCGATCGGGAAGGTCTGGTTTAGAAGGTGGTCAAGCAGATCGATTCGCATCAAGTGAAAGTATTTAAGCTAGCTATGTCTTTTTTACATACTATGTATATCGTACGTTATATAAATTTATATGCTACTACCTAACTACTACCTTATACAATAAAAACAAACAGAAAACCAAGCATTTTTGTCGACACTTTTTGCCATAGATTGCACCAAGATGATCCTATTTCTTATCAAATATGAAGCCGACAAGGATTATACACAGAATCAGATGGTAAAATATAAAATACTGCGTTCAAAATAATATTTAATATTTATTTAAGAAAAATATATATGTTGCTATGTATATTTTAATGTTAAAATATTTTGAAAATAGGTGATTTGATAAAAAAAAGAGTATGAAACGTATTTAATGACTAAAAAGGATGCAACATATTTGGACTTTTGTAACTGTACTATTTGTACGCAAGATACAATATACAATTAAATATATACATGTCCAGTAGATTAAACAGGAAAATTATAAAAAAAAAAACTAAATCCATTTGTTTGCAGGAAGTAAACAACAGAATATACTGGATGATAAATGGAATTTGTTCGATATTATCTGGCATTTATTTTTAAATGATCCGAAATTAACAAAACTAAAGGTATTTTCCATAACTACTATTTATCTTGAATAGCTAAAGCTTAGACTAATGGTATATCCGTAAATTCCTTTAAAATGGCTGAAATATCGACAAATACAGAATAACCGAATAAACCATAAAGTATGCAGCGGATTCTTTTTCTGGGAATTAAGTTTCAGTTCCCCCCAAAAGATGCAAAACAATTTCGCTTCAATAAACTTAATAGGAATTCTTTATTTCTGGAAAGCAACACTGAACGTTTTCCGACATTTGTTGGCAATCGACATCGCTATCGAGATGGCTATAAAAGTATTTGTAATCGTAATATACATAACTATATACAGGCGTTACGCTAAAACTAAGACTAAGTGCTACCCTGTAGTTTTGTAGTTTGATTCCCGCCCTGCGTTGGCATTTAGTAAGTAAGTATATATCATAAAATTACCTTAAATGTTTGTATGCGCGCATCATGTAGTTTAGTTATCTCTTTTTCGGCTATATACAACTTTGGACTAGATGCTGTGTTTCAAAGAACTCTATGTACAATGCGAGAGAATTGATTTTCATTTCGATTTTAATTTTAATTTTGATTCTGATTCTGATGGGCTCTACGAGTTAAAATACTAGCTGCTTAAAATCAAAGTAAATACAATGCCATAATGCTTTGCCAAGCTACCATTTAGTCAAACTTTACAATAGATATACGGATATATGGCGGTATTCGGCTGTAGGTCCCATAGTTATTTCAACATTTTTTCCCTGTGTATGTATGTGAAAAAGAAAAACCCTAAGGTTGCCACAGAATACCGCGTATCGAAATCGTAGGTATAGATTGTTTGCGGTTGGTTTTTACATGGGTCAATCCATCAAGTACAGAAATCCGTTGCGCTGCCAGTTGGGAAAAAATCTCTTAATTCTCTCTCCTCCTTCTACTGCTCCCTTAGCTCCTTATCTCCTTTGCTCCTTTGGCCTCTCCCTAGATGTGAAGGGTGGCTCCCGGCGCGGAGGTGGATCCTCCGGCTCCCGGCTTGGCGGAGGTCTGCGGCGGTTCCAGCTCCTTCGACTGATCCATGTCTATAACCAGGCAATCGTAGGCCGGCGGCGGCAGCTCGAACTTCACCACACTATCGTAACTCGGCGGCAGTGAGTCCACTATGCGCAGCACATCGTTCTGGGAGTTGATCTGGAAAATTAAATTATAATTAGTTAAGGCGTTCGTTAAGGAAATAATCGTAAAGCCTAAATATATTAAAAATTCCCCTGATTAATACCAAAATTAAATCCACAAAACTAGCCAAAGAGTGGGCTTCAAATAAATACCAAAATGGAAATATCATCATTTATATATCATTTATAAAAGTTATTAAAGAAAAAGTAAATTTAATTTATAAAAAAATATTATCTTATATCTTGTAGAAAAAAATAGCACAAATAGCAAAAGAGTAAAACTTTTGCATAAAATATTTCAAACTTAACAATAATTATTATTATTCTATGTTCTCTACAAAAATATAAAAGATTTGACTACCACTTGCTTAAAGGCAATATTTTTGTTGTTTTTGGATTAATAATAAATTTAAAAAATTTCCAAATTTGATTTTTTGTTTTTATTTTAATGGTCAAATAAATTATGCAATTTTAAAGCAAATTTTATTCGACTTACGTGTGGCATGGCTCCATTGGTGGCCCGGTTTCCCGCCTCGTCGATGGGCCCCGCCCAGATGCAGACGCCCATGCGGTGCGTGACATAGCCGCAGATGATCACGCTGATCACCAGCATCCCGATTCCCAGGGCGAAGACCAGCCAGCGCGACTCGTCGCTGTTGTCCCGCAGATTCTTCTCCAGCTGCAGGGCGCAGAGAATCAGCACGGGCACGGCCACCATGGCCACCAGGAGGTCGACAATGGGACGCTGGGTGCTGGGACCGGCGTTCAAGGGGCTCCGTCCCGCTCCGGAGCCATTGGCCGAGCCGCCCAGCGGATGGGAGCCAAAGTTCTGGCTGCTACTGTTCGGCGTCAGCGTGGAGCGGGCCACCACTGTGTTGTGATTCTGCAGCACCATTCTGCAAATACAAGAGAAAAGTCGAGGGTTACACGGGGAGAAAATCATAGGATAAAATATTATAAAAATATTAAAAAATATTCTGTTAGTTTTTATAAATAATAATATTATAAAACAATTATTTAAATAAAATAATAATATTATTATTGTTACTATTTGCCTTTCAGATCTTAAAAACGATATCATAACAAGGCCTAAAGGATTTTAATAATATTTTAATAATTTTAAATTGTTTTTCTTAGTGTGAACCGCAGAGGTTCATGTTTATTCGATGGGAATAGCGGGTAATTGGTGGCTCTCAATTGTTAATCCCCAATGAACAGGCATGAGAAGCGGTTCCGATCGCTAACTGTAATCGCCGAGCTAACCAGACAATGGCTCATTATCTCCAGCATACGATTAGCTCTGGGCTAATTTCATAATTTTTATAAGAATCCATCTAAGTGGATTACCAGAAATCGCGATTAATAATGGCCCCTTTTATTTGTATAATATTTACTATAATACTTTAGGTAACGTAACTTTTTTTCTTTTTTTTTCAATGGAAGAACACTTTCTTGCTTAATTGCTGTTTTCGATTTGTTTGGCAAATATTTTGCTTAGATCGCATTGGGTTAATAGTATGATAAACATTTGATAAACGCCCCTCCCCGGCCAATAAAATCAACTGCGTCACTGAGGCGCAGACGGTGGAAACCAAATATTTGCTAAGTATTTCTCGTTTGGAGTCCAATTAACATTGGTTAGCATTCAATTACCGCTCAAGATGTATCATATTCCAATGTCTACATGTGAATGTGACTGTGATTGTGGTCTATATATGTGGGTAGGTATAATATCTGTATAGGGCGAACACATTACTCGTACCTGGGATCAAAGGCGTTGCTCAGCAACAAGTCGTATACGGCGCGCATTTCGATAAATGTCTATACCGCTCTTTCTCCAATTCGATCGCTCTCTATTTGTTTTTTATTGATATCAATTGGTTAATTTATTACCGTCTCAATATTCTTGTTGCTGGCATATTCATTCAATGATTTGAGTGTCACACACGAGTTGAGTTTCTGTTGTAATCTTTGATTTGCCAGCCACCGAGGGTTTCTTTTGTTGAGGATGGTTATGATAATGAAGAGGAAAATTCAATTTAAAGGTCATAATAAATAAATGTAAATTCGATGGTAATAGGAAAGAAATTTATGTTTTTTACTCATTCATTGATTAGTTTCATTAATTACTTTTAACACATTTTTTTCTCAATTTGTTTTACAGATTAAACGTGTTTAAAGCCAATTAGACAAAAATATTTCCTATGAGAACTTCGAACTACCCTGAAATAACAGGTGAATATTTTGAATTTTTCTCAACTGGAAATTAATACTATTTAATTCGTTTGTTTCGTTTTTCTATTTAATCTTTGGGTAAACAAAAACCGGCTGTTTACAATTAATTTATATCTATTTATATATGCCTTGTTTTTTTTGCTTCTTTATATAGTTGGTAATTTATGTGCATCTTATTTATGCGGTTGTTGTGAGAGGAGCAGAGCTTTATGGTTGTGTTTTCTTACACCGCACCAAGGGAGATAAGACCGAAAATCAAGATGAAATGCGAATGGGATTGTCGCCGCACCAGGCGTATACTTGATTTGCCAAACTAGGGGCGATAATGCGTCGAAGATCTGTGGCTTATCAACTGGGCGGCCAACTGCAAGGGGGATTTCCAGTTCACTTGAACGATAAGGGCGGCACGTGATTACTCGACGTTCTTTCACATTTATTTGTTTCAATAATAACACATTATTTGCACATTGGTTACCAAGGCGTCTGTCAATTAACACTTCAGCATTGGACTTGACTTGCACAAAATAAATAAAATAAAAAGCTCGAAGAGGAGGAAAACAGAATACACAATACACCACCATACACAATGGGAATTAAAGCCAGCTTGGACGGGCTGAAACCGATTCGTGGCGATCTGGGCCGGTCAAATGTAGGAATCGGACTGGAAAAGCGTCCCGCAAAAGTGGCCATCTAGCATAATCGAAGTATGCTGTCAGCTGAGAGTCTTTACAACGCGATCTATGGACCTGGGACATACCCTAGTGGTATGTCCAAAATAATGGGGATATATTAAAACTAAAGAAATTATAAGAAATTTTACTAAACCTGCACTTAATTGTATTTAACTGTCGGTTAAGTTCCGGTTTAAACCTAATTTAACTTCAAGTTCTATTTATTGCTAATATTGTAGGTATTTTTGATCTAAGATTAAATGCTGGATAGTTAATAGATCATTTCATCATCAAGGGGTAGCAACACGCGAACATAAGAATGCATTTCGAGAACGAAAAGCTAAGCAGAAAAAACAAGGGGAGTGGAGAGGTGGAAATTGTCCAAGAAAATAATGATAGCGGGCCAGTTAATAAAGTTCTGTCAACCGACTTTATCTAGAAACCGGTTGCAAAGCATTGCTCCTTTTTTTTCGAATTCTGAACTTTATCTGAAAGTTGTCTGAACTCTGGAAGAGATACCATATACCAGATAGCGTGGCGACAACTCTTGATTAACGCTGAAATACTTAAGATCTCTGCACAAGAGAATGCGGCGAATTTCCAGAGATCAGACAATGGAAATCTGCAATTATAATTCCAGCTGAGTGTGTCTGATGAATGAATCGTCGTCGTTTACAATAGATACACTTAATTGCAGGCCCTATAGATTCAGATGCATCATATGACAAATGCAAATATCACATACATATATGTTTGCATATACGAAGCGCCATTATCAGTCCCCACTGATAAGACAGCGCCCCGACTTTACTCAAATATAAACCGGTTGTAAAAAGTTTGTCATTGATTGTCCTCGTTTTTGCCTTTTTTTTTGTTTCTTGTTTTTCGCCGCCTCATTTCAATGATTTAGTGCTGTTGTTAATTTATAAAGTTTGCTTTCTGGGTGAGCACCCAATTTGGAACGTCTCCGACACCGATTTGCGTAAGGAATCGGGGCGCATTAACCTTTTCCCACGTTTTTCGTTATTATTCCTCTCGAATTTCGGATGGCGTAAATTTGCGCCCCCAAAAATCATCCAATAAACCAAGATTAAACTTTGGGAATTTCTCTCTTATAAATAGTATATTAAATCAATAAAATAATTTCTTTGATATTTATTTCTATACCTTTAATCTCTAAAACTGCAAGATATACTCAAATCTTTGGCTCTGAACTTCCGTATTCTATATCTATGCACTTCCGGTCCAGGGATGATATGCGTAGCAACTACGTGACGTGAATTCTGATCACAATTTTGAATATTACTCGCGCACTTCCATTCACAAATTGCACAACAGCATCAGGGCGAGAATAGAGTCATTGACCAGATGCTGAAAGGCACATTATACGATCGTACAACTGTATGATCTGGGCATATATCTTTACCGGTTGGATGTGAGCATTGTCAGCTGACTGGCGGTATGAAAAAACGATTGCCTAAAAGCACAAATTAGCTGTCGGCGACGCCCACAAATACTGGGAAAATCAAAAGGAAAGTCAGAGAGCCAGAAAAGAAATAGAAATATCTACCTACGATCCGACTATAGACTTTATATGGCATAAGTAAAAGCCCAGCAATTATTATTATCGGCTGAGCTTGACTTTGAAAAGAGAGACTTTGATCGCGAATCGAGCGTCAGCAGTGGCCCAGAAACCCAATTGGAGTGCAAATCAGCCAAGTGCAGAGATCACCAGAACATTTATCGGTTCCACATATAGCATACTGTGGTATATATCGAATTTCTGATGACTCGACCTGAGTTATTTTCGAGAGAACTGCACTTTTGTTTCCCGCTAAATTCGCATTTAGTGTTACGGTTCTTTCTTGTTCTCAAGACCTTTGCATTTATTTATTTCGATTTTTTGCTCTCAGGTATGCCAGATTTACACAGAATTAGCCAAGTCCCAAAAACAATAACAAGGCCGTAAAAGTATATGATTCCCAGTAGACGGGGCGAATTTCCCTATTTGTTTTCTGGAGCAAATGCGTCATATATACCATATGATTCAGTCGTTTGTATCCAGATTGGGCGGAATCTTCTGGGACTTATCAACTCCCGATAAGGCGGGACAATGCAGCTTAAAAGATACATATATGTAGATGTAGTAATCGGTGGGGGATTTTTCTGTTTTTTGCCCACATTTCCCATTAGTTGCCAGGGAAAAATGATATACGGTTGGTGGCAAACAAACAAATGAATGCACTTAATTGGGGTAGATTTTCAGGGGATTATATCGGATATCATGTTTATCGTAAGTGCCTAGATCCAATGGTAATCTGATTTTTAAGCTTATTCCGAGGAACTGCCTTTTACTTCTAAGGTAAATTCAAATGGGAGAACCTTGAAATTGGTCTTTGGAATTCCTAAAACTATTTGTTTTGGAAACTCGTGGAAGAAAGAATTTATATTTATTATCGAAGTTTCCCCTGGCAGCCCAGAACAATGCACAATTTAATTAAAATTCCTCGGGCGATATTCCCGACCTCCCTCACCATTATGCGATGTGTGGCAATCTAAATGGCACAAACACAAGCACACACAACATAGCACTAGCACAACAGTTTCCTTAATTGCCGCGACAAGAAAATCATAAAAACTAAAGCAGAGAATGAACAAGAAAAAGAAAAACTTGACGAAACTGACGCCCACAAAAAGAGGGGCAACAAATTCTTGGGAATTGTCTGGCCCACTTTGCAAGGGAGTCTGAATCGGAAATATCAGACTCAGCACAGCAGAGGGCAATCGAATAGGAATTGATGAAAGAATTATAATATTATACATATATATTCTATAATATACCATATTGCATATATATAGATGATCCTAACTAGGGAAAACTGATTACCATCTTAAGCCCTCAATATATTTCTTTTATCATTATAGTGCTACTGATTCTGTAATTAGTAATTATACCGGAAAATAATTCTTAAAAAACCTAACAAATATTTTTTAATTACATGATGTACTATCATCTTAATCCTCACTGTAGGCATGTGTGCATCCATATGTTTGAGTGCTTTACATGAACCAGAAACAAATGGAGAGGCATTATTAATGTATTAATTGATCGGATCTCCGAGTGTCGCTTAATTGTAAATGGGGGGAGAATTAGTTTGTGGATGCTTTTTGATTGACTAAAGGGGGGGAGAGAGAGGAGCTACTGACCCCCTGTGGAGTGAAAGCTTCCCCAGAAAAAACAAAAAGATTCCTCACTTGTTCACTTCTTCACGTCTCTATTTCCTGTTTGGTCACGTAGTCAAGTTTTTGACAATAATTGGTGGCCATCTCATATATAGGAATAAAAGTGCCTCTGCTAGTTCTTCTTTTATTCTTCTTGTTTTTATTTTTCATATATGTTTTTGGTTGCTGGACTGCGCAAGAAGTGTGTGTATACAACGATACTATATATAGAAACTAATGATGAAAAAATTTAATTTTTTTGCCTGCTATCAATAAATTTTATTTATCTGTTGTTGCTCTCCTCTCGACGATTCTTCTCGTCTTTATGAAACAAATACATTTTAAAGTGTGGCAACATTTTTTGTTTACTTTTCCTTCGAGGGGATTTCGAAATATTGTTTTGTTCGATTGCTGATAAGAGATGGAAATGAAAACACCTGTTTTCCAAGAGATAGTTCTAATTTTTGCCAAATTGCATGGCCCACATAAAGAAAAAAAAATAAGAAAATACAAATATGCACATCAGCTTTTCGCCGTCCCTTTCGCTCCTTTGGCTTTTCCCATTTTGTGCATTTTATTTATAGCCTTAGAAATAGAGGGGTTTTGGGGGGTTTATTGGGGGTAAACATGTTTGTCGGCCTTTCGTACACTTGCGAAAAGGAACCCTATTTAAAACCAGCTGATGGGATATCTTAATGTAATTAAGATATTATATGATATTATCAATACGCACTGTATGTTTTTGATGGACTGTTCTAAGGATTCATGGCTTAAATATAGGGTTTGAACTAAATCTTGTTTAAAATCTCTAATCGCTATGGTTATTATAAAAAATATTTTTTTTCTGTGTACTCACTCGAAAATGATTTTTGGCCGCTGCTGATCTTCCTCTCTTTTTGCTCTCTGTCTCACGCACTCTTCTCCTCGCTTCGAGTTTTCAATTCTCCAATTCTCTTCTTCACATTTGATTTTGAGTAGCACAGAAAAAACCAAACAATAAAAAATACAAACAAAAAGCACCGAAATTTGTTTTTTTTTTGTGTATATTAACAATTATGCACGCGCTTCAATTGTTTTTCGTAGCTGTTTTTTTTTTTTGGTTTTAATTTATTTTTGTTTTGTTATGTTTTGATTATTTTGCGGTTGCAAATGAGATCGTTGGCACAAATATTTGCAGCAAGTTGAATGGACTTCTTTCGAGGGGATTTAGATTTGGATTTGGATGTAGTTTTGCGTTTCGGATTGGGACTTATCGGTGCTGGCTTTGGGTATACTCGTAGTGCTCCTTCCTGAAGTTGGGATCCTCGCCGCTCTCACAGAAAATCCAGCGCCTGTGCACCATTACAACAAATCTTGGCTTGATTCTTTCCTCCACGCGCAGGACTCGAATTCGGATTCGGATTTGGATTCTCCACCCTCGATTCTTCTTTTGTCCCCTCACTGAACTTTGGAACTGTGGAACACAACGATGCTACTATGGTCGACCGGTCTACGAGCAGGAACTGCGTTCATATACACATCTCGATCTCGATGTCGATGTCGATGTCGAATGTCGGGTATATAGAAATGGATTTTTGTTATTTTCTGTTTGTCTGTTCTTCTGTCTTCTGTCCTCAGTCTACCGCTTCCCCTGTACTGTTCCTCGGTCTTTACTCGGTCTTGTCTTTATATTTCTGTTCTGATCGGTCTGAAAATTTCGAACCAGAGGCGAAGAATGCTGAGAAGCGACTGCCAGATCGCTGTCGTCGCCGCCAGCGCCTCGGTTTCCTCTGTCGACGTCGACTGCGACGGAGGCGTCTACGCTGTCGTCGTTGTTGTTGCTGTTGGGGCTCGGGAAGATGCTCTCCGCTCTCCGGTCTCCAATCTTCGCACCAGAGATGCTGGGAACTGCGATCTTTTAAGAAATATCCAGGGGCAAGTAAAAAACTTTTCTAGAAAAGAACAGGTTTTGAAAAGATCCTTTTTACAAAGATCTATATTTACGAAGATAGTACTTAAAAAATATACAAATTAAAAAAAAAAAAAAATATATATATATACAAAATTGTTTCCAAAGTTCCTAAAAATTTCTTTAACAGATTTTGACCAAACAAAATCATTTGTTTAGTTGTTGTATATATATAAATCCTAAACGATTGAAATTTATACCAAGAAATTAGAATTTGTTGTAAAGCAAGATTGTTTTTAACGTTTTCTTTAGAAAAAGAAAACAACAAGTTCAGTACCTGATCACTGATCACTGTGATCTCTCAGCAGCATCTCCCTGGCGATTTCTGTAGAACTAGTTGTGCTCTCTCCGCCTCTCACTCACTCTAGGTCAGCTTTGATGTGTGAATCGTGACGCGAGCCGAAGACTGCCTTCGCAATTCTTCTAGTGCTCGCCCGCTCACTCCTTCTCCTCCGCGGGAGCCTGCTGATAAGAGATGCCGTTATCTGATTGCCAATGTGACACATTGAGGCGACGATGGGCCAACGCTTGTTGTTGTTGTCCCAGCTTTACGATCTGCACACGCACACACAAAGGCAATGATAAGAGATAAGAGAAGACACCTCTTCTGTTTCAGTCTTCTGCGCTGTCTTCGGTCTTTGGTCTTCTGCACTCTTATCTGCACGCTCCTTTATCTTCATCCGCGCATTCTTCGCCTGGCAAGTGGTGAAATTTTGCACTTGCTGGAATTTATTTGTGTCTTTTTTTGGATAGTTGGCTCCCAGAAGTGTTTATGTGGCTTACCTTAATCGTGCGTCTTGGATTTACAATCTCAGCGGGGAGCTTCAGTTTCAGGAACTGACTGAGATGGAAAAGAAGATTACAAACATATGTATTTTTAAAAGGGAGCTACTGCATTAGAGGTCATAAAATGTAATATGAAAATATTTCGGATTAAAAAAGAAAGACGCAAAAAAATGTCATAAAAAGTGGGTGCTATTAAGATAGATAATTCATTCTGCGTATCTTTACTCCTTCTGACACAGATGTACTAAACTAGTTCTGGTTAAAAATAGTTCGAGTGCTTATGTATAAAATTTATAAATGGTAATTAAGACTTTATGAGTATATTTTTAAAATTAGGTAAAACGATTACAAATGATTTCTTAAGAAAAACGATCATTGTCATAAGATGGCCTGTACCTTACCTTTTCCCTTATCAGACTAATTTTTTGTTTGATCCGTCAAACTTGAACAATAAAATCCGATTGCGTCATCCAAATATTGTTTTGTGTTGTATTGTATTGTACGCGTACTCGTGATCGGTGGAATTAATTTAAAATATATGTGGGTCAATGGATTATCAATGCCCCGAATGAGGCGTCAAATAGACACAATTACCCTGGATACGAAGGCCCGGGGATGAGATGGTACCGTTACCGTACAGGCATAGTCATAGGCAGCACATAGATAGTTCGATGAACACATGGACAGTGCAATGACTCGAGATCAGGCACTCTTTTTCCAGGTACGCAGATCTTGAGAGAACGGGGGCCACAGAGAGGCATAGTCCCATTTAAGGTTTTATAGCGAAAACGTGATCGGGCTCCACGGAAGCCCCGCAATCCCCCGACCACCGTAGCATCCCCATCACCATTCCCATCCCCTTTGGAAAAACTTGTGCAAAATGCTGGTCACGTCTGTATCTCTATCTGTGCCTATGTTTGAGTTTGTGCTCGTATCTGTATCTGTGCCTGCATCGTATCTGTATCTTGGCTTGACTTGGCCGCAAGCCGAAAGCCAAGACCCAAAAGCCCTGCCAAAGCAAATTAGATAAGTCGCGTCCCCCGGATAAAACTTGGCCATATTCATATTCACACTCACAATCATATTCCGGGAGACAAATTGATAAGGGGGCAGCAAAGCTTTATTGCGGCTCTGCGGGACGGGAAGTCGTTGCTGCTTAGGCTTATCTCGAGACCTCGCTGGCAATGGTAAAAATAAGTGAATAAAAAATACAACGAAAAAGCACAAGGTAAACATTTCGGCAGTCGTTCGGGGCAGGGTGTGGGCGGTGGTTCTATCGCCAACCGACTTGGGTTTGCCACAACCAGAACCCGAAACACGAGCCCAGAAACCAAGCCCAATGGAAACTCCGATTTCTGTCTGGGGTTTTTCCCGCATTTTCAACTGAACACCGCCTACAAAAGTTCTTATATCTCAAGCAAATCAAATTTAAAGCCATTTTTGGTCATGTTACAGATAAAAGACACTAAAAAAAATTCACATTTTTACCAAAACCTCTAACCTAGCTCTTTCACCCAAAAAACCCTAAATAAAGATTTGAACCCTGAAATTAAAAATGTATAAATTAGATAAAATAAGCTTTTCTAAACAATAAACAGGAAACTACTTTTTTAGAAAACCAGACTAAGAAAAATTTAAAATTTTTACCAAAAATCAAGATTTTGATTTTTCACCAAAAAAAAGTAGTATTTACTCTTAATATTTTGGTCATAAAAATGAAAATAATAATCCAAATATGGTGTGTCCTATCTTATTGAACTCGTTATTAAATTCCCTATCGATTGGCATTTCAACCTGGAAATGTTTAATTTTTGCCATTTTTCGCAAAAAATTATGATGGTACCCCTTAAATAAAAGCAAAAATTTGGTCAAAAATTAATTTTCCCAATCAGTCGCAAAGTGCACTGATATTAATTATAAGGTTGTAAGCTGCACAAAACAGTGCGCCTTTTTGATATGGGACCATTTTTGACAAGTTACAGCAAAAAATCTACAATAAAAAATCAAATTTTTACCAAAAATCATGATCCTGATTTTTCACCCAAAAAAATTAGTTTTTACGATTAGTATTTTGGTCATAAAAATGGAAATAATGATCCAAATTTGGTGTGTCATACCTTACTGAACTCGTTATTAAATTCCCAATCGATTTGCATTTCAACCTGAAAATTTTTAATTTTTGCCATTTTTTGCAAAAAATTATGATGGTACAGTCAAGTAACAAATCAAACACAGTCGTTGTTTTTTGAAGTTTGTGTTTTAGTTAGTTTTGTGTCACAATTAAATTTCATTTATTTGATACTTTTGTTTTTGTTGCTTAAATTGCGCTTTTATTTATTTACTTCGGTTTTTGGTTTTAGTTTTTCTTGCTGAACAATTTACAATAAACGCGGCCACTTTTTGTGTTTTTTGTTGTTGTAGTTTTGTTTGCAGTTGTTGTTGTTTATTTTATAATTATTGTTTTTTGCTGATGTTGTTTTTGTTTTTTTTGTCATTTTACCTTTTTGACTTTTGCTGCTGGCTAAACCTAAAAAGTTGTTTGCTGTTGCTTGTCGTGTACACGTACATATATCGAATAGTTTTTGATTATTTGATTTAATTAGTTTTCTCGAAATTTCGAAATCTTCAAATCAAGTGGGAATATTCCCGTTCTAACCCTTAGTTTTCCTTCGCATCGATTTTGTTTAGAGTTTTTATAGTTTCCGCTACATTTAATGGTTATTTTTTCTTTAGGTGGGGGCGTTGGAACAGTAAAGGGGGGAAAACAGTTGGCCAACAGTTCCTATATGCGTATATGTAATTATATATATAATCTGGCAAACGATAACAGTGGAAAGCCAAAGGGAAATGTGTGTGAGACGCGGGACTTCCCATTTTCTTCTAGTTTTTAGCTCTGACTTTGGCTATTTTGAAATCGATTTAAACTTGTCACTACCAACACACAGACGCACATCGAGATATATGTATGGTATATTTCGTACTTTATAATTTTTACTTTTACTTTTACTGAATTCTGTATACTTCATATTGTATAGTTATAGTTATTATTTGCTTGTTATTTTGTAGACACCATTTACAATTACAATTACAGTTACAATTAGATAGACACACACAATGCGATCCTAATTAAATACATTTAATACGCCTCACATTTTTAGTATTCTTCGTTTTTCCATGAGTGCGTGAGTGTGTGTGTGTGCAAATTACATGTGTGTGTGTGTATATATGTATATATATATATAGTTCCAAGTTCCGAGTTCCTTAGTTTACCTAAGTCTAATTGCTATTCCGAAAGATCCCAGGATCAGTTTGATGTTTCACATAAATATAAGATACAGTTGTGGTCAAAATGATGGTAGAATGGACATAAATGGGTAAAATTTAAACATCGTCTTGCAGAGATATCTATTTACAGTAAAAATAAGATACATATCAGCTTAACAAGGGGATTAGAAGGCTTTTAAAGGTGTTTTTGGAACTAGCTTGGTTGTTTTAAACTGAGACTGAAATGCTAAAGTGCCTTTGGGACCACTTCTAAGACCACGAACCTACAGATGATTGCTTTTAAGAGTTTTAATACTATATTTCTGTGTCTTAAAGTTGTTTTTGTGGCACGAATTAGAGGTTTTTTCCCGAGTCCCCACTTGCTATTGTTTTGACCACAACTATATTAGTAATATTCTCGAGGTTTACCCCGTTTTGTCCAATCCGAAAGTGTTTTAGGGAGAGACTTCATTGAGAGAACCAAGTTCGCTGGGGACATCCCTAGTTTTCTAGCCCCATTATTTGTTTGTAAAGCTCACTTGTTTTTTTTTTTGTTTGTTCTAACTTCCTATAAGCTATCACACCTTTGACCCTACCTATCCTACTACTTCACTGCCCGCTCGCCCAATCGAACTTGGCTCTCGCACTCTCTTTGCCAACCCTGCTATATCGATTAAATGTCTATTATTAACATAATTTATTCTAAACATTCACTAGAAACAAAAACATTTTAACATTATAGCCTCTTCCTCTTGCTCACACACACACACAGAAACGCGCACAGTGAGCGGCAAAAAAATATTATGATTAAAATCCTAGTTTTCCAATATAGTTTTTCTCATTTTTCTGGCGCCTTAACGATATGTGAGTGTGTGTGTGCGGGGTATGCAGGTGACCGTGCGTGCGTGTGTGTGCGAGCGAGAGGGAGAGAGGGAGAGAGAAGGAGTGAGGAAAAGAGACGATACGAGACACCTAATAACGGTGATAAAGGAACTTAATTCAACGATTTGAGTTTTTCACACTTTTCAGATGGGTTCTTCTTATTTTTGTGGGGGTGGGGGATCGTGTCGAAGGCTGTTTAAAATTTTACAGGCTGAAAAGCTGAATGCTAACAAAAACTGCCTGCCATGTTTGTTTTTCTTCTTCGATTTTTTTAATTTATATACGATTCCGCCACGAGTTCCTATTTATTAAGCTTATTCTCTTATTTTGCATATATGTATGTACCTCTTAAGTTCGGTGATTCTCGGCATTTGCGTATTTTTGGTGTTTTTCGGTTACAGTTTGACATTTACTAGTAGTTTTCTCTTTGGTTTTTCTTCATATTTCATATTTTCTTGGTGTCTTCGATTACGATCGTTTTGCTTTTCGGTTAATAATTAATAATTCGTATTTGCTTGTATATTATGAGTATGAGAATAAGGTCTCGGCGGTTGTTGGTGTTGTCTTTCGTCTTCAACATTTCGTTTACGGTTATTAAAATAGATATGGCTGAGCGAAAAATCGCTGGAGATTTTAAAACAATTCTTGAAGTTCGAAGGCGGTTTAACATTTAAGGAATAACAAATTTTAAATAATAACTGGGGGCTCCACAGAAAGACTGAGCTTTTGAAATCACTCATAAAGGTGTTGCATACTTTTAGACACCTTCCTAAGAGTTTTTAAATTCCCAGTGATTTCTGAGTCAAAGTAATCTAGAGTATAACATTATTTCTCTAGCTCGAAGATTAAAGAAACATTTGATCAACTTTTAGGCGACAACAAGTAATTGTTTTAAAATATCCCTAGACTCTGGGCAAAACCTGCAGTATTCGATTTTTATGTTCCTATTCAAGCCTTTGGCAGTTTCTTATTTTCATCTTAAGTGGTGATTTTGCTTTTGTCTGATTAAGAGGGAGACAGCTAGAAGATTATGGGGGATTTTTGGGAATGGGCACTTTGAGGTAACGCATAATCGATCAACGGATTATCAAATACAAAATGGCAATAGAAAACTTCAAAATCGAGAGAACACGCGACACAGTGGCAGACAATTAAGTGAGTAACATCATTTAAAGTACATACAATATAGGCGTACATATGAGTACCGAGTGAGTACCGAGTGCCAGGTGCATCTGGTAATTCCCCTGGCAAAGAATCCAAGCCCGATATATAGCCCGATCCTAGCCGACTGCGATGACGGGGAATCCCCGCAGCGTATCTCAACGTTTCACCCCGAACAGATTCGGTATGGACTTGATCTTCTTGCGCGAGCAGTTCAGGTAGTCCTTGTACATGTCGGACCGCAGATACCGCGAGTACGAGTCGCTCTTCATCAGGTGGTAAACGTGGGAGGCGGCCACATCGAAGCACCACCGATTCGGGCCACTCGGCGAGTTGACCGCCTCGCGGGCCAGCTCCACCGACTTCGAGTCCACGTTCACCGGACAGGGGGCGTCGGGGGCGAGGAACTCCTGCCAGATCTTCTGGATGGCCTCCTTGATCTCCGACTGCGGCAGCGCCTTCATCTCCTGCACCGATTCCCAGAATCTGAAAAGGATATTTGAGTTAGGTTTAAGTTATTTATTTGTAATTTAGAAAAATAGTTGGAGAGTTGAAATCTCTTGTAAGGCTGTCTAAAAGTATGCTGCGAAAAACGCCATACATGTTCACATATTATTATAGCATACTTTTAAGCACCTTAGTAATTGATCTAAAAATTTTACTTATTTTGGTAGCCGTTAATACAAATTTGTAAACTTAAGTTGTGGAATTTTGAACTTTTTACTTTATATTTATTTTAATTGAAATTTTTAAAGATTTTTAATATATTTTTAGGAACAATTGTTATAAGTTGTTAAGAAAATATCTTCTTACAGCTTATGAATCACATTTTTTTATCACTCACTTGAGATTCTCGCCGCTGTACTCCTTCTCCAAAAACTTGGTGAACTGCTCGCGTCCGATGGCATCGTTGAGCAATTCGCGCAAACTGAATGCCCAGCGCTTCACGCGCCGCACAGGAACTTCTTTGCTGCTGGGCGAAAGGTAAGTAATTAAAATATAATTAAAATAATTAATAACAGGGGGAGTATTTCACCTATTCTTCTCCGTATCCCACATCTCGGTGCTGTCCGTTTGCCACGGATTCGGCAGCTCCGGCGAGGTTATAAAGTAATCGAACTCATTGTACTGATCGTAGTAGGCAACCAGACTGGCGAATATCATATCATAATTTAGTTTATTATTTATTAACTTATTAATTTATTATTAACTTACGCCTCGGCCGCCTTTGACACCTTGATTGTGCGCCGCTCGAGCTTCTGTTTGCGCAGGGCGATGATCCGCGTCAGCTGCTCGACGGGATTCTTGGCCAAGGAGGCGCCGGCGGATCCGGTGCCGTGGCTGGAGCCGCCCCTCCTGTAGGCCTTCTTAATGTCAATCTCGGTGGTGTTGACGCAGCCGGGCATCGGCCGGTGGACGTCCCAAAAGGCCCGCTCTTGCGAGTCCAGCACCTTCCGCTCCAGCTTGTCCCGCTTCTTGGCCACCTTGCTCTGCGATTCGGCCTGGGAAATTAAGATAATAAAAAAATATTTAATGATGAATACTAAAATTAAAAACTATGTATTTATCATTATAATGTTATCTGTTAAACTTATTTAATTATTTTTATAGTAAATCACATAAACTAAAATAACCATGGTATCAGGTGCCTAAAAGTATGCAACAATATATTTTTAGTCCAAAAGTGATATGAATTCATACAGGAAGACGTCTATCCGTTATTCACTGCATACTTTTAGGCACATTTAAAAGAGATTTTAATAATCTTATCATAGTCTTACCTGCATAAATATAAACTCCCACTTTCTGGAGAACATCTTCTGCAGCTTGGCCAGATTCTCGGCCTCGTAGTCGGCCAACTCGAGTCGCGTCTTATTCTGCATGGTGCGCTTGCAAAGATAGACGGCATAGTCCGTATTCTCGGGCTCCCAGCAGTTCGAGGGCCAAAAGTAGGGCGTCTGGAATCTGTACAGAAAATCAATTATATAGATCATCCATAGATCTTAGGATCCTAGCTTACCTGTAGAAGGTGCCGTCGTTCTTCACGGTCAGCGCATGATCGTCGATGGGGAAAATGTAGCCATGCGAGCTGAGCAGGTGGGCAAAGTGCAGGGCCTCCGTCACGTCCTCCACGTCGAAGTTCTTCAGGATCCAGGCCACCAGGTCTGCGCCGGTGAACACCGAGGGCACCTTGCTCATGAACGCCTTCACCGTGCGCACGGCCACGCCCGTCGACTCCGCCTGCATCTTCTCGATAATTGCCTCCATCTGCGAATGGAATCGATTCAATTAATGCCAATTAGTCGGCGGACGAGCAATCAATACTCGCTTATTACAGTTGAAGAGCCAGTTTCAAAGGCATTTAAATTATTTAAAATTTAAATTATTTTAGCTATTTAGATTTCTTTTTAAAATTGTTTTTTAGTATATCATTTTCATTTGAGTTATTTTGAAAATTTACAACTAACGGTCTAAAAATAAATCATTCATTTTTTTTACCTATTGTATAAAATTTTTAGCCTTTTCAACAAATTGCTGAATTTTTATGGAAAAATCTTTTAAATGTGTAAATTAAAAAAAATAAATTATAATATAGCCTTAAAAACTCTAATGAAAACTTTTATTCATTTGTAAAAATTAATACCAAAGCAAGCAAAGGGAAAAAATATATAATAAATTTAACAAATAATATAATAATGGTTTTGGGGGGATTTCAGAACAATATTTTTGTTGCATACTTATTGAATACCCAATTTTCTTTCATTTTATTCACCATATCCCATATCTCACCTTTTTGTACACCAGTATATTCGGTGCATCCTCGTTCTTGCCGCCGCGTTGATGATGCGACGCCGATGGAACGGCGAGGGCGGAGGCGCTGGGCGGCGGGGGCGGCTGGGCGGACGACTGGCCCGCCGCCGCCGACTGCTGCTGCTGCTGCTGCGAGTGGCCGTGGTGATGGTGGTGGTGGTTGCCGCTGACGGTCAGCAGGCCGCCGCTGCTGCCGCTCTGCTTGCTGCCCGCCGCCGCCGCCGTCGAGGAGGAGGTGGCCGAGGAGGAGGACGTGGTGGTGGTGGCGGCGGCGGTCTTGGCTGCGGATGTGGTGCTCGTAGCTGCAGTGGTTGCTGGCGGGGCAGCCGATGTTGCTGCTGTAGCTGCAACACTTGCTGCTGCTGCTGCTGGTGATCCTGATGATCCTTCAGCACTATTACTGCCATTGGGCAGTGGACTGGGAATTGGCGAGGGCGTGGCTCCTCCTCCAACAGACTGTGGCTCCTCCTCCTCCTTGGCGGGAATGGCCACCGCCAGCGGATCGCCGCTGTTGCTGCTGCTGCAGTCCGTCTTCGCCGGCGCCGCGGTGCTGCTGGCATTGGTGGCTTGTGTTTTGTCCGCCTCCGAATTCATCGTTACCATTTTCTCGAACGGCGCTCCAGGGATATTTGATTTCCAGAGCTCTTTCTATTTTTAAACGCCGTGTGCAGGGGCGTGGGTGCCGGCTGCTCGATGAGGGGTGGATTGGTGGGGCTTGGGGGTGGTTGTGGCTTGGCTGCTGCTTTAAAAAAAAATTCCTAGTGGGTGGTGGTCTTCTCCCAGCTCTCCTGTGTGTGTGTGCGCGCGTGTGTGTGTGTGTGTGGAATCAATTCGATGGCTAAAAGAATTTTTATTCAGCTTCTAGGGGTCATTTTGCCTTTTTTAATGCCATTTTTCCCAGCCTTTTCCACCCGCTCCTCCTTAATTTTCACTTGGCTTTTCCCGTTCCTGTTTTTCCTTTCCGTTTTCTTTTTTCCTGTATGCTCGAAATGTATAGGAGTTATGGCACACACACACACACACACGCACACGGGGCGATGAATTGTTTATTCGAATTCCGCAGCAGTTTTCCTTGTGCGATTATTATTATTATATGGTGTTTTTTGGGATTTTTCTAATTTAATATTTGCTATATTTTTAGCAGGGATTTTTTCTTAAGTTTTCGCTTGCTGTTGCTGTTGCTCCTTGCTCCCTACTTCCTCTCTCTCTCACTCACTCTCTCCCTCTCTCGCTCTCGCGCGACGTGTTTTTTAGCTTTTAGCCCGTAATCATTTTACGGCCCAAAGTCAATCGGCTCCTTAGAGCTTCCTGCTGATAGTCCTTTATCGATTTTTCGTCCTTCCTACCCCATAAACGCTCTCTCGGCCCGCTCTCCCGCTCTCTTTTCGTCCTGCGCCTGCGCAAATACCGTTGTTTACATCCAGCCAGCTGTTGTGTATCGATACCAAACACCCGATAAATATCACATCGAAATTATGGCATCCTGAAGGGGAGGAATTCAATACAACAATGTAAATATCGATATTTTAGGAAAATTAAATCGCCATATCGACATTCATATCGATACGATATTTTCCCACCACAAAACACACATTATTTTCAATTTGCTTTATTTCGATAATAAGAATTTGCGTCTACAAATTATTTTATTCGTTTACAATTAACAAAAAAAAATATAGGTATATTTTTATGCACGGTATACAAACTAAAGGTATAATTAACGCGTAGTTTTCATTAGCTGAATAGCGTGATTTTAACTTATAGTGACCTTAGTTGTTATGGCTTTTATACAAAGTTTTGCAATGATTTTGGAAAACATTCAAAAACAGATTACAATAAATAGAAAAAAATAATACATATAGTGTGTGTGCAGGATAAAACAGATAGCTACGGCTAAGCGAAGGATCCTTCGTTCGATATCGACATCGGTAACGGTATCGATAAAGTATACATACATTGATGCACATATTTTACTGCCCCTAGGACTAAGTGGTGTCGGTAGCGCCTACACTCGTTTTTTATTTACATAGGTTTGTGAATATATATTATTACCGCATAGGGATATAGCTACACTTATATATGGTATAAATATATATGTATGTGTATTTGCTTGTTGCAACTCTGTCAGCGATTGGCGATATGTATCGATTGTCGATCGCCATCGAGACGTTGGCAGCACAGCAGGACCAAATCGGGGTTTATCTCTTAAATGACCAGCTCTACGTAACGTAACTATTTGTTAGTGGTAGCAAAGAACGCGAAATAAACTGGGAGCTTAAATAAAAGTCGAAATGGAAGCGGCAAAGAAGAAACGCCCACAAAACACCCATTAAAATGATGATTTTATCGAATAAAAGAAATCATTTTGAAGAATTCAATTTTTCAGCGATTTCGAGAGGAATATTTCGGGTTATAAAAATAAAAATGTTCAAATACGAAAATGAGACCATAATCGGGATTGGTTGTGAATGATATGAAATGGTATTGAATGAAAAAGAATTGCGGATTGGCCTCCCTATAGATCACATTTTGACACTACGTTTATCAATGACATAGAAACCATCATTATCGACATGATTACTCGGATTTTTAAGATATATAAGTACTACTGCTGTTCCCTGGACTGTCTCACCGATCGCTCCCGATCCCGATCCCGCTCCCGATCTCCCTCCCTCCTCTCCCTTTCGGACCACAGGGGCTGGCCACTTTGGGCCTGATAGGACAGCGGCGGCGGCGGCGGAGGGGGGGCGGCCAACTGGGCCTGGGGCACCAGTTCCGCCTGCGGATTGAACTGATTGTTGGTGTTGTAGTTGACGAGGATGTCGCCGGCGAGACTGTGTCCAATATTAACGCTCCGATCGGGATAACCCTGGTTGTGATTCTGATTGTGATGCTGGGCCTGCACCTGGATGGGCTGCGATTGCACCTGCTGCTGCTGCGTCTGCTTGTTCCTCCAGTGCTTGTGCTGGGCCACGGGCACCAGGCGGTACAGGGGTTCCCCCGCCGGAGCACTGGGATAGCCGGGCACATAGTACGGCGGATAATGGGGATGGACATGAGGGTGACCCTGCTTGCTGCTGGGTCGCACCCTTTTAAACTGCGGCGGAGGTCGCTGCCAGAACTGCAAAGGATTCGATTGGACCGGAGATGGGGGCCTTAGTTGCTGCGGATCGTCCACAAACTGGGGAATTGGGGTGCTGTAGACCTGCGGCTCGTAGATCTGCTGCTGCTGCTGCTGGTGCTGCTGCTTGCCCACCCGGAAGTGGCGACCCGGCAGATAGGAGTCCTGCGGCGGAGAGGCCTCCAAGTTGCTGGGCTCCAGCTGCAGCTGCTGCTTGCCAACACGCAGGTGACGCTGCCGCTGGACGGGATTGGGATTCAGACTGGGATTGGGATTGGGCTGGTAAACGATGGCCTTGAAGGCGTTCTGGTCCTGCTCGTCCGCACTGTAGTTCACCATGGGCAGGAAGGGCTGCTTGTCAAAGTCGGGGGCCTGCAAACATAATATGGGATTTACCAAAAAATATTTATTCCTGAGATTGAGCAGTAATATTCGAAAGCAGCCTAAGAGTATGTAACATTTTCTAAGTTTTAAGCTTTTTAGTTTTACTGTAAAAAAAATATAGTCGCTGCCCACAGATGGCGCTTTACACAATTGGCAGATCGATTTTCTATTGCCTACATTTCAGCGCTGAGCACATCAGTCGGGTTCAACAAAATTCTTATAACTTTAATAAAATTAAAATTATATTTCTCTTTCTCTAAGGAATCACTCACTTTGAAAATTTTTGGAAGAGTCTATTATATGAATTATTATTATAATAGTATACAACAAATATTTTAAATTTATTAAAGTACAGACTTCATATTATTTGGTATCAAATCAATACCACACTTTTTACTACATCAAGGAAAAGGTTATCTGTTTAAAGCAGTTTGAATTTTGGGTGTAGGACCAAAAGAAAAAAAAAACAATTTTTGTCAAAAACTGAAGTCCCGAATTTCCAAAAAAAAAAAACAAAACGGGTTTTTTCGCTAAAACAAAGCAAATATTGATTTAAAGTATGGACTGTCATACCTTTCTGAACTCGTTATTAAATTTCCCAACGATTGGCATTTAAACCTTGACATTTTATTTATTTTTAATTTTTTGCAAAAAATCATGGGGTACCCCCTTATAAAAAAATTAAAAATTGGCGAAAATTTTATTTTTCCGAAATCACACGGAAAGTTTTATGGATTTATTTATTACTTTGTTGTCTGTTCAAAACAGCATGAATTTTTGGTGTAGGTCCATTTTTGGCCAAGTTACAGCAAAAAAACCAAAATAAAAATTCCAATTTTTGTCAAAAACTGAAATCCCGAATTTCCAACAAAAGAAAAACAAAACGGGTTTTTTCGCTAAAACAAAGCAAATATTGATTTAAAGTATGGACTGTCATACCTTTCTGAACTCGTTATTAAATTTCCCAACGATTGGCATTTAAACCTTGACATTTTATTTATTTTTAATTTTTTGCAAAAAATCATGGGGTACCCCCTTATAAAAAAATTAAAAATTGGCGAAAATTTTATTTTTCGGAAATCACACGGAAAGTTTTATGGATTTATTTATTACTTTGTTATCTGTTCAAAACAGTATGAATTTTTGGTGTAGGTCCATTTTTGGCCAAGTTACAGCAAAAAAACCAAAATAAAAATTCCAATTTTTGTCAAAAACTGAAATCCCGAATTTTCAACAAAAAAAAAACAAAACGGGTTTTTTCGCTAAAACAAAGCAAATATTGATTTAAAGTATGGACTGTCATACCTTTCTGAACTCGTTTTTAAATTTCCAATCGATCGGCATTTAAACCTGGACATTTTATTTTTTGGACATTTTTCGCAAAAAATCCTTATAAAAAAACAATGGAAATATTGATCAAAATATGGATTTATGACTCACCTGGAATCGCCCCGGATGGGCTCCGACTGCCACTCCTCCTCCTGCTTCCTGGGGCGAGATGAGGTTGCTCCTGAGCAGCTGGCCCAGGGACGCCTCGTACTCCGCGTGCAGCTGCAGCTGGGCGGTCCTGGGCTTGGGCGTGATGTTGACCACCTCGGCGGCGGTGGCCACATCGTTTGCCGGACTCGGCGACGCCTTGTAGTGCTGCAGATGCTCCCGCTGATGGTGATGGTGGCCATATATCTGGTTACTCTGGCCATGATGATGCCGCTTGGGCGGCTTGGTGGCCAGGAAGTCGTCGATGACGTTGGACTTGATGGAGCCCGGCTGCCGCTTGGCCTCGAAGTACTCGTAGTAGATGGGGTTCGACTTGGAGAGCGGGGGATCTCGAGATCCCGAACCCGATCCCGGTTCCTCCGTGGAGCTGGGCACAAAGACCAGCTGGGGACGCGGCGTATAGTTGACGGGGTAAATGGGTATGGGCACTGCCACCGGAACGGGCACTCGCTCCACATACTGTTTCTGCCTCGGATGCGGCGGCAGATAGGTGATCCCATTGTACTTGGGCTTGTACGAGGTGCGAATGGGCAGCGGTGGTCGTGTGGTACTGGTAGTAGTAGTAGTAGTAGTAGTGCTAGAAGTAGTACTACTTGTAGAAGTAGTGCTTGTGGGTGGTTTCCTGGTGCTGCTGCCCTCCAGTCGACTGAAGTGATCCGGCGGCGGTGGCAGGACTATGCCGGGCACCAAGGGACCCGGTGGCACCGGATTCGAGTAGTTGGACTTGTAGACAAACGTGTAGGCTGGTGGATAGTAGAGTGAGGGATCGTCCTCGTCGAAATCGCTCAGATTCGTTTGGGAATCCCCGCCAGAAACTAGAGAGGCATTCAAGCCATTCAGCCCGTTGATCAGCCAGGGTCCCAAAAGCGGCGGCGATCTCAGCAACCCGCCTTTGGACGTCGTCTCGTTGGCGGGGTAGAGCAGCCAGGGGGCATAGGGCGCGGGATAAACATAGGAGGGGGATTCCTTGGCCTCCTTGGACTTAGCCGACGTAGCTGCTGCAGTCGCTCCCGTCCGGGCAACAGGATGCGATGCGAGATCTTCGCCGGCGCCGGCGCCCTGGTCGCTCTGGTGGTTGACCATCCCGGATAGCGTTGCATTGCCAGCCGCCGGACGGAGGATCTCGAGTTGATTATCTCGGATAAGCTGCAGCGGCCCATGCGGCTCGAGCTGCACGGGAAATGGAGGCGGCACAGCTGGATTGGCTGGCAACTTGATCTGCCTTCCCGGCGCATCGTAGTCATCGATGGCCGGCCAGGGCAGGCCACCACCCCCCGGCTGATTGTCATCGGTCTCCTCGTTGAGGGAGCCACCCTTGATCACCAGCAGGTGATCCTCGGCCAGCCAGATGTCCTCCTCGTTGAGGCCTCCATAGTTGCGCTCATTGTCCAGCGGAACCTCCGAGTTGCGGGCATAGCTCAGCACTCCCGGACGCTTGGGAACGCGACGGAAGAGCTCCCTTTCGATCAGTCCATACTTGCCGTCCCTCACCTGGTCGGCCAGCGTCTTCTTCTGGTCCTCCTTGGCTCCTCCTGGGGCCTTCTTGGCCGGCGCCTCCGCCTCCTTGCCCGAACCGGCGCTCAGCCGCAGGATCCCATTGTCCCAGTTGTCGTCGAAGTCATCCGGTTCGTTCAGCAGCGCCTCATCATCGTTGTCGTCGTCCTTAAAAGGATTCGGGGTATTGGAACTCGTCGGCGGCAGGGGAGTGGTGGATCTCGAGGTACTGGGCGGATTACTGAAGCGACTGGGGGCCACTGTGCTGCTCAATCTCGGCCTGATCGAGGGTTTGGCCAGTCGGTAGCTGCTGCTCGCCTTGCTCTTCAAAGGCGGCTGCCTCGTCGTCGTCGTCGTGGAGGAAGTGGAGGAAGTGGAACTGGAAGTGGAAGTGGAACTCCAACTGGCACTCGTCGAAGGATTATAACTAGACGAGGAGCTGTTGGCACTGACCGCCGACACCTCGTAGGTGGAGTGTCCCTGGGCATTGTGGATGTGACCGGCCACCAGGCGCTGGATCATTCGCGGCCTTGTAAAGACATTGGATTGGCAAGTAAATCAAGAGATCACAGAAGACTTCGGTGAACCGAAGACCGAACTGCCCTATAGATATTATAGATTAATTGGGAATTTTCTATTACCCAGAAAGTTATATTTTTTCTAATTTATTTTTCCTAACTATTTATGATTATTACTAATTACTAAATTATATTAAAAGAAAAACGCACAAGCATATATTATTGATTTTCTTGAGCTGGTTAATAAAATTATTTGACGTGGGGTAGACAGTTCTCAGGCTTTACAAATTCTGGGTTCCTCTTATACTGATCCTAACTCATATTTAAAAGGCATTAAATATTACACTTTTACTTACTAGGTGTCATGACTAAAAATCACAAAGATTGCAATGATATCAAGGTAAATCATGTGGCAAAAATCAAAATCTATCTATCCTAACTATCTTAATTGCCTTATAAAACGCTTATATCACTTACGTTTTCAGTGCGCCTCGACTGGAAGTGGTACCGCCACTGGAAGTGGAACTGGAACTGCCACTGGAACTGAAAGTGGGTGTTTGGGCGTGGTAGGGGGTGGCGGTGGGCGCTTGGGCGGACTGCCAACTCCGTCGAATGCTCGAATCGGGCGTATCGCGCGGTTGTCGTGGCCCCCTCACACTTCCACGATCCCTGGAAGATCTTCCAGCTGCTGGAGTTGCTCCTGTTGTTGTTGTTGTACTGGAAGTGCTGCTGCGACGTCGCTGCAGCAGCCTAGCAGCAGCAGTTGTTGTTGTGCTGACCGGCGGCAGAGGCGTCGCTGCGCTGCCACTGCGACCGCGACTGCGAATCGGGGTCACCGTCACCGTTATATCGATCGATTTCGTCGTGGGCGGACGACGCTGACGCGGTGCCCGCAACGTTGGCGCCTCTGTGCTGGTTGTGGATGCAGATACAGATGCCACGCCCCCCAGCCGCAGCCCCTCCCCCTGGAAGGCGACGCCTCTGCCGCGCTGTCGCGTCACTGTTGTTGTTGTTGTAGATGTTGTTGGTGTGGTTGTTGTTGGTGTTGGTGTCGCCGCCTTTGACAGCGCAGTCGACGCCAGCAGAGCTATCACTATCAAGTGCAAGGTTAACGATGCCATCTGAAAAAAATAATCAAAACAAAAAAGTTAAATAAGTGTTATTAAGTGGGAGGAAAGTAAACGATATTGAGAGAATTTAGTCAGCCATTTCAACGAAATTTACTAAGCTGAAATGGTTAGAATAATTGTTTCCACTAAATTCCAAATAAAAACGGGTCGTATGAGTAATTTTTTGAAAAATTATTTGCAATGCAAAATATTTAATATTAAATGGTGATAATATTATCTTTGTAAGATACATAAGATCTATAAAATGTTTTCTTTTCTTTTTTATCTCTAGAAAGATAGAATTGTATTTTGGCTTTATACAATCGGTGCTAAAACTTAAGTTTCTCAAAGATGATCAATAATAATAAGAAAATAACGCTGGATAAATAATAAAATATTTACCCAAGCCTGTAGCATAAAATATAATACAAAAAGTAAATAAAAATAGAACATCAAAATTTGAATTAATTACTTTATTTACCAAATCCCATTCATTCTCTTCAAATCCCTGCAAACAATAGTTCAAAGCTGGCTCATTCAGCCGTTAATCAATTGGAAGTAGCAAAAAATAAGCGAGAAATGGCCAAACCGCTCACAATCGTTTTTTTAGTTGTTGCGAGCGGTTAATTAGCATGAATGAGCAGATAACAATAGCAACAACATGCCGTAAAGTTTTGAGCACGCGTCGTTTGCAACAAACAAAACAAAACAAAAATCAAAAAAAAAAAAAGAAGACAAACGAAAAACACTGAAGTCAAAATCGTTTTTCCCGATGCACTTGAGCGCATCGTTGGGAAAAGAGAGAGGGTGCGATTTTCAGTTGTAAATACGTGAATTTTCAACCGTTCGATTGCATAATTAAAAATAGGAAAAGGCGAGAAAACCATGTTCACAACATAGGAAAATTAAATGAAGCTTCAAGGTAGAAGAAATCGTTTGTAATCCTTTTAATATATTTGTAATATTTTTATTAAATTATTATGATGAAATCCCTTTAACTATTTTATTATTTTAGAAATATTAGAAATCCTTTGAATATATTTGTAATATTTTAATTGAATCGTCATGATGAAGCCCCTGTAATTCCTTTATTAATATATAAATGTAAGAAAACCAAAAGCGAACCATTCTATTAAAGTGTACCTCCAATTAAACCTTTAAGACTTTAGGCTTTATGTCTATTTTTTACGCCACTTGAATGGCCGAGAGAACCTAGGCTTGTCCGCCCATCAATTTAATACAATTCAATCCAATTCGATGCCAAAGCGGCGGCCCGTCACTTTCGACGCCCCGAAAATGCCAAAAGCGAAATCAAGGACGGAGCTTTGAAGAAATCGAATCATAAATAACATTTTACTTTTGCTCTTTGTGTTTTGTTTTTTTTTATATTTTGTATTTTTCTCGACATTACTCATACGCGCCGTGGCTAATTGACCAAAAACGCGACAGGTTGAAGACTTTTTTCCCCCGTTTCTATATGTATAGATATATATATTTTTTTTATTGGCGCCCACAAGTGCAGGCGCCAAGCTTAAAGCATTTTTGTTGTTGGGCGCAGTTGCCAAACCCCGAAAAAAAAACAATGCAAAGTGCAATAAAACCAAAAAAAAACAACAAAAAATTGAAACAATCAAATGGAACGTGATTCGATTCAACAAAAAAAACAAAACAGACACTGTAACCGAAACCGAAGCCGAGTTTGAAACTAAAACTAAACCCCAAAAACTGGACTTGGACTGGACTTCGCTAGGAATGCGTTGTATCGTGTGCCTTGCGCCTGTCCACTGTCCACTGCGCTCCAGTTTCAGCCTTTATTTCGGCTTTACTTTAGCTTTTGCATTTGCTTTTATTTCTATTTTATTCGTAGAACCAGCAACGGCTGCCAAATTGTTGTTTGGCAATCAAAAACGAAGTTAAAACAAAAAGCCAGCGAAATGAATGCGGCTGGAAAAACAGCCGCTGTGAAATATCCTCAACTTAAAATTAATATTTTATACAAATTTCCATCACTTAAATATTCTTTACTACAGATCGTACCCTTCTGAAGGAGTAAACTTTAATTTGTTTATCTAAACAAATGGTTTTAATAATCAAAATAGTTTTAAAACGATTTTAACATGTAAAATATACATGTTGTATTATTATAAGTTTATATTCATTTAATAATATAAATAAACTATAAATTGTATTCAATTAGCCTGCTTATAAATATTCTATTAAATTTTAAAAAATGTCTAAATAATTATTATATTTTTTGTAACCCACCTAGCTCATAACTCAGTCAATATACTCCAGTTATATAGTTCGCTTTGGGCGTAGAGTATCATAAACAGTAAATAATGAAAACTGCTCGCGTGCGCAGTGGTCGGTGCCTAACGGTGCCTGTAGTGCCCGATCCACTGATCCCCCCGAAACCCCCAAAGCCCCTCAATCCCTCAGATAGCCGAACCCCGATCTCCGATCTGCGCCACCGCCAGAGGAGATTCGTCATAGAGGCGACCACGTTCCAGGCCAAGCCTTGGAGTCGCCGCCAGCCGACTCCACTCGGAGGCATTTTTCATAACCGCAACGAGGGTACTACAAAGTGGCTTCATTTTCAAATTCGGCCTTATTCGGCATATGATTATGGGGTTTCATTTAATAAAAATCATATTATTTTACTTAGGAAGGGTAAAAAAAAATTATAAAGAAAGGAAACCCTCATCACTCTTTTTTTATTGCTTAAATATTAGAATGCAAATATAAATAATATATGTAATAAAAAACAAAAATCACTAAAACTGATAGTCAATTTTAGAAAATGTGTAAAGAATCATTTAAAGGAAAATATAATATTATGATAGGTATATAGATTTGTTGTAAATATGTAAATAAATATATATCTTAAGCAATGAAAACTAATTAAATACTCTTGAAGTCCACAAAGCTCTGAATTCATCAAGTCATGTTGAAACTAAAAAAATATTCACAGGCTTCGTAATATTTTTATTAAATTTTTATTTTCTCAACAGCCATTTAAGAAACTTTAATTTGATACTCACTTCAAGGGTATCCCACTTCGGCTATACAAAAACAGCCTGCCTTTCTTATAAATTTTTTACTCGTAGGCTTTGTGCTTTTGAATGAAAGGCAACGTTGTTGTCTTTGGCTATTGGCAATAAATAATTCTTTGTTGTTGCTGCGCCTGTTGCTTTACTTAAATTTAATTAGTTTATTTGAAAGCAGTTTGGGGCGATGGTGTCATAGATTAAATTGGACTCAATTCATTTTTTTAGCCCGCTGTTCGTGTTTTTTTTTGCCCAACATTATCTAATTGTTCTTGTTATTTTTGAATTATATCTCAGACATTCCTTTGCTTGTTCTCAATTTAAAAAAGGAAATATACAGATATTTTACCAACTTTATTTCCGCAACACTTCGTAACGCGACACAATTCAAATGGTAACTGATTTCGGTTGTTTTGCGGGTGGCTGATATGATATGATATGAGAAGGGGTTTTTAGAATAAGTCAACGAACGCTGTGCTCTAATTAATAGCTGGCCAAAGAACAATAGAAGTAGCGGAGCAGGTCGAATGACAATAAGTCCCGAAATTAAATTTAAATGCTAATCAAAAATATGTGAAACTCATGTGGGGATTTTTGGAGCGGAGAAAGAAATTTTCCGTGGAATTGTGTAAGCCGGTAAAATGATTCGAATTATAGTTTTGTAACTCTGGTTTGGGCGTAACTGCCACACCGAATTGGAGTGAAGGTTAATCGCCGCTGGTCGATGATGGATAGGAATGGAAAGGTGCAATGGTCTGTGTATTGTAGCATTATATAGGTTTGAGTTATATCGAATTAGCTGTGCTTAAATAAAGCAGTAAAGTTTCTAGCTTAAAAAATAGATGGTAAAATATTATTTGTAATTTTTTATTTTTTAGGTTTTTTTTGAAAACTGCACCTGAGGCTCTGAGCCAAAATTAAAATCCGAATCGAGGTCCTAACATGGCGAAAAGTAAGTCACTCGGTTATCGCAGGCCAAAATCAGAGACAGGAAAATGCAAGGCAGCAGAAAAGCATAAAAATGAAAACCGCCACGAGGCGTCACTGTGGGGGCGAACTACCCTGGATATCGTGGACCCCTCGAGACCCCTCCAGACCCCCCGTCCTCCCCATCTCCGAAGTTGGGACATGCACTACAGGTTCCCCCAGCCGATCGTTCGGTTTGCATACATATATTTATTTTGCCGCCAAAGCAAAATATTTGTGCTGTTGTTTCACGTTGATACCTTTCGTTGAGCGCCGCTCGCAATGGTCTGGAATTTTAAATAAATGCGATTTAGTTGTGCAACAATTTGCCTTGCTTTACTTTTAACTTTTTCTTGGACGCCACTTGCTCTGTGAATTTATGGTAAATAATTAAAGTAACAAAAAAAGTGGCTTGTAGACAAGAGAATAACAAAAAGGCAACAAAATCAGGGGCAATGCAACTCCGAAATACCCCATAAATATTGGGATTTTTGAATGTTCGATAGCACAATGGTTGAAAACATTTTAATAGAATATCTAGCCCATTGTGATTAATTGCTCTTATCAATTTAATGCTATCTGTGGCATTTAGGTACAACATTTCGTTACTTATTGCTTTAGCTTAATAATTATGGCATTAGCTTATCTGCGGTATTTTGCATTAATTAATAAATTTAACCTTAACGGTCGCTTTGCAATTATTTGTTTAAAATACATCTGATTTTGTCTAGATTTTTTTTAATTTAAAATGATATTCCATATTAAATACTTATGTAACAGCTGATGATACCCCTCATTTATGCTGGGTATGTCGAGTGCCTGCTATTTCCTGACTTTGCGTAAGCTCTTAACCATTTTTTATGAAGTATTATCTTTGGTCTTTCGTTGGTTTCTGTTTATTGGCAACGAATATCAAGCGGCAGTCGGCGCATTAACCAACCCAAGACATCAGCTAGCTTTAAGTATGTTCACAGCTGTGTCCAAAATAATAGTCAAAAAAAAAATTGATAGAGAAATAAAAGAAAATTATATAGCAAACATTTTTTGATCTGTGAAATATTTTAATTATTTAAAAATAAGTTCAAACATCTAAATAAATTATACAAATCTAGGCACTTTAATATTTAAGAACTGTATACTTAAACCACAGAGAACACTATTTATTATAATTAAATTATTTATTATTTTTATTTATTATATCATATGGACGCTTTTCGGCTTTTCCCACTGCCCACAACTATTATTCTGAACCCGGCTGTGTGTATATGCATTTCATTCTGTATTCCGTCGGGTCTGGTGTGAAAGCGAGAGTCCGTCGTCGCTGTTATTATGGGTAAAGTTATGCTCGGCGCGTAACTGGGCCAGCAACAACAACGAGAAATGTTTACAAAATATTCATTGATTTAAAATGTGGTATTTCTGAGTTTCTTCGCGGAGAGGGGGTATTTTTTTTTATTATTATGTTTGCGGGTTGATTGATCAGGCTGCAGAGTGATGCAATTATGAGGGAGTCAGTTTTTTGTGTCTGTTACAATTTTAAGTGGAAACGCTGCGTATGCGTAATCTTGGCCAGACATTCCACGGATTGCGCATACGCCGCTTTGGACCGCAGCCCGAAATATGGGAGCCTCAGTTAGGCGGAATCTTGTGTCATTCGGATAGCAGTCGAAAATTGCAGTCGCAGCGCGAAACAGGCAATAAAAAATCACTTGATTAGAGGGGCAAATCGAAATTGGGGGATATAACTAGGGGAACTGGGAACTGGGCGTGGGAAGCGTGCAGCAAACGGCAAAGCCAACAACTTTATTATGCAAAGTGCCCAGAATGCCCCTCGTCGTAGTCGTCGTGGCTGGCCATTCCCCCGATTCACCCCTCCCCCCACTTCCCATTCCCATCATGACTTTGTCCTAATGACAAGCTGCCTACTTAGCTCGCCTATAAACTTATGTATTTGCATGTAGTTTACGAACTCTAGTTCCCACTTATAAAGCCGTTCGATTCGTGTGCCAGCAGTTCAAGCGAAAAGGGCGGCAGCATTTGTTTCGATTTCTATGTTATGGGAACAGAATCTCGATAAATGGTTTCATTTTGGTCGTAAATGGTGGTATTGGGTACACAAAAGAAAAAGCCGGGTCCAAATCGATGTACGTACCGTAAATTAATTGTTTTTATCATGAAATACTGATAAAATTGATATTCAATAATGTCATTATCCCAGTCTTTTCCTCTTTTCGGCCTGTCTTATTGATGTGACACCGGTGACCACAAATGTTCCCACCTGAAACCGCGAAATGAATCACGTAGTTTTGAGCGAGCTCCCCCTAAAAATCGAATTGCCCGCGGGGCCGAGACGACATGCAACACATATTGCATGTTGCACGTTGCATGTTGCTGGTTGCTGGTCGGTCGGCTTGGCCGGTGATTGACACCTTTTAACTACCGTGACGCAATGGGGCGACAACAGACGGGCTTTGGCAGCCGAGTGACACATTTCCACAGGTTTTTCAGCCGCCCCACCGACCACCCACCCACTGGCTTTTCCTTTTCCCATGGGGAAACTCGTACGCGAATTTCGTACCGAATTTTCACCCGATAATCTATAATTATAATTGCCACTCACCGGCGGCTCAGTTCAGTTCAGCAAAAGCAAAAGCCAATGAAAATTGCCCAACCGCACTTATGCAACGTCGATCTGGAATGGATCGGATTGGATCAATCGACTATATGGCCACGCCCCGATCTCCACCTCGATCTCGAGGGCCTCCCGCCGAGCAGTGTGTTGCGCGATTTAGTTTTTAGTTAGCATAATTCGCTCTCTAATTGTCAACGACGGGCGAAGAATGCGGTTTCCACACAGCAAAAAATGGTAAAAAACAAAAAGTCTATGTTTGTTTACTCAGAAAAAAAATCTTAACCAATATAAAACTGAAGACAAAAAAACAGTCAGTAGCAAAAATCACCCAGAACGGATTTACATAAAAATCTAAAAAAAATAGCATAAATTCGAAAATTATTTCAAATATATGTCTATACATTTTTTAGAATTTCCTTCTTATTAAAATATATATTTGTTATTTATTTATGGGATTTTTATTTAAAAAAACAATGCGTTTCTCTCAAAATAATTTCCAATATATTTCCATAAATTATTTTAGAATTTGTATTCTTAAAAAATATCTTAATTTGTATAACTAAATAAAAATAATTTAATAACAATTAACTTGCGTTTCTCTCAGTGCATCCCCTTGGCTGTCATTGTCAACACACTTTTTCTGCAATGCGGTTCGGTTCCCATTTCCAATTACAAAAGCCAGCTACACCCACCGTCGTCAGGTTGGGACGCAACATGATCGACTAATTACTATATATGAATATATCGCCAGTGGAACCTATCAAAAGGCGATCATGTCGTATGAGGGACAACCAGTGCGATAAAATCTAAGCAGGAAACTTATGGGAGAACGAAATGGGGATTGAAAAATGGGATTGGCTCTATTGGATCTATGAAAGTTGGAATTATGAATGTTTGTGGCAAGAATGTATCATTAGTTACAGTTAACAGCCAATAATGAAGTCGTAGAACATGACAATTCATTCACTGATATTATTAATTAGCTGGTGTTAAAGTAACATTAATCTTAACTTATATCCTGCACTCGAAAATATCTCCTAGTCCGCCAATTCTGGCATTTAATTCTTGATGGCCAAAGGTTAATGCATTTCCGTTTCCGCAGGCCAAGTGTTTTTATTTCCACCTCTAATTTCCTTTTGGAAACTTGGTCTTTAAATTGTTTTGTGCAACTCACCTTTGGGTCTTGAGATATCACAGAATGGTTTTTGTGCCTAAGAAAACGGCGACACTTGCTGTTTGCTGTTTTGCTGTTGTTGCTCTGGTTGTTCTTGAATATTGTTCTTATTTCTGGGGTTTCTTGTTTTGGTGTGAACCAAAAGATTTCCAGCAATTTTCTGGCTATTTTTGCGCTTGGCCTTTGTGCTTTTCGCTCTTTGCGTTTTGAGTTTTGAGTTTTGCTCCACTTGGATCTCGTAGAGCCGGGAGTTATTTACGCTACTTTTTTATGATTTTCGCAAATTACTTTTCGTTGGGCAACTTTTGGTGTTGTTTATGGTTGTTGTTGCTGCTGCTGTTGCTGTTGTTATTGTTGCTGTTGCTGCTGGACATATTTCCGTTGGCAGCAACAACATGACGCGGCGTTCTGACCGTCAATCAACGAACTGCAAGAGGTTAGAGAAATAGAAGGTAATTATTATCGAATAAAAACAAGCAATAGATATGAAACTTTGTCGATAGATAAAGCTTGATGTAACCAAAAAAGTCCCAGAGTTTCAAGTAGTTATAATTATGAAATAATATCTAAATATTTGTTGATTCAAAAATTGACCACAAAATGCAATCAATTCAATCCACTGATTTTAAACTCATTCACAAATCTCTGGCATACGTATACGTAATTTAAGAGCAACAAGAATGGTAATGAAATCACGCTGCTGGCACAAAAAACCAATCCCAAGCGTAATTGCGTTTTTAATTAGGGGATTTATAAGCGGAGGTTCAGCGGGTTCTACGATTTCCACAACATTTCCACAGGCGAAAGGCGGAAATGGATAGTTTTATTTTCGCTTTTTTTGGCTTTGGATGCAACAAACACCTGGCGACTGTCACCATCCATTTGGATGAGTGTCCATCCGCTGCCTTCCGTTCCACTAATTGCCGCATTGAGAGAAGAAATGACAAATAAGCCACAATATATTCCACAGTACATCAAAATTACATTAGGCCAACCGTGTGAGTTGCCGAGCACCGACTGCTGACCCATTTACCATTTATCGAGTGCTGACCGTCGCCAGTTGACTGTGATGTGTTAATTAGTCAAATGTTGGTCAACACTTGGCGCTGTTTGACTTGCGTTTCAAGTGGACTTTGCATCTGAAAAGGGGCGGAGGTACTTTGAAAAACATTTGCGACCTGCTTAAACGGATTACTCTTGGGATTTATCAATGACAAATTGTTAACACACTTGTTTGTTCAATTTTTTAAACAATTTTGGTATCTCTACAAAGTACATGAGCGCATGGCACATTTCTGGTAACTATAAGCATAGATAAAATATAAGTAATATTTTCCTCCCATTTATTATTTTATTTAAATAAACGAAGGGTATTCAAATACATTCAAGATACTATACTTTAGCTTTCCTATCAACTCCTCGCAAATGGGCAATCAATCTCACGTAATATTCCTCCCTTCAGCTTCGCCTCATTTCCTTTGCATTATTTCTCAGTTTATTGGGATTTTGCAATATTATTTCTGGCATCTGCCGGCCTTTTCCTGCGTGCAGTGCTTTTGTATGCCAGGCACAAAAATGCCAGGCAAAAAACGAAAAGGAAAACCAAAACCAAAAATCGAAGCAAAATCGGTAAAAATGATTTAATAAGTCGCCGGACAGGCAAAAAAAAAAACCACTGGCAACCGGATATCGGAGTCGAAGTTGAAGTTGGAACTGAGTAAATGTTTTGCAATTTCCCTAAGATTTCCATGAGTCGGCTGGTATCCGTATCTGTATCTGTATCTGTGGTTATTCGCAGATACAAATAAATATTCGCAACTGTGTGGCATGTTGCAAGCATGAACATGTGCGTGTGCCACACGATCGGCGGTTCCTCAATTAAACAGCACTTGCATACACAATTTTATTTGTTTTTACCATCGATCGTTAAGCTCCCGAAAATTAAGTCCAGCCAGAGCCGATTAATGGTTAAGCGTTTTAATGCCCCCACTCGAAGTGTTGATCATCATGAGAGCAGCAAGTGGACACCAAACAAGGCACACCGAAAAAAATATATGATAGATAATATTTAATCCCTAATTATATAAATTAAAATACGTCTTTAATAAATCATAAAATATATGTGAAATATTCTGTATTTTTTCAATATATCTATTTATTCTATATTAGCAAATAATAATATATTTTTAATAGCTTTATTTGAAGTTTTATCTGCAATATCTTTCCTAAATAAATACCTCAAAATTGTTTTTCGTGCACGAAACACCGAACACCGGCGGACAAAAAGCACTTGATTTACGAGTTCCGTCCGCAGAAGCTGCAACTTGCAGTCGTGAATATGGATGTGGATGTGGATGTGGATGCCACTTGACTCATTTGCCGCACTCATCCACTCATCGAATTCATTCATTACGGGACAGCCGCTCTGCCGCCAATAATTGTTATTTTATTGTTTAATCGCCGACAACGTCGACGGTCGCTTTGATTTTCGCCGTCGCCGTCGATTTGCCCCCTGAATAATAGAGTTGTTTTTTCGAGCCGCGAACGGAAGGCATAACGATGGGGATTCGATTCGATCATGATTCGTTTGTCCGACCAAGTACTATCCCCTTTATCTCTTCTCGTTCCCCAATAGCCATGGATTTCGATCTCGTTTTTATGGCGTTTGATTGTTACAAGGTTTCCGCTTGCCACCTACTCCCCATCAAGGTCGAGTTAATTGGATCGGAAAAGTATCTGGCATTTTCGGAATTCATATTTACCATTACTATGACACTTAAATGGGTTTTTCAGATTTAAAACGAGGACGGAAGCTAACTTCGGCAAGCCGAAGTTTTAATACCCTTGCAGATTTTACGAATTAAAACTTGACTAGACTAGCAACATGCATTAATAAACAACAAAATATTTTATAATTGAAAAAATAAAATTTTAAAATTTTTCACCCTATTGTTCCTATGGGAGCTATAGGATATAGACGCCCGATCGGCACGCGCGTTTACCCTAATGAAGGTACGCACAAAAAAATACGATTTGGAAAGTTTCATGGGAATAGCTAATATTTTGCGCGAAATATCCTGAAAAACGTAAAATTTTGACCGATTTCACCCTATTGTTCCTATGGGAGCTATAAGATATAGACGTCCGATCGGCACGCGCTTTTACCCTGATCAAGGTACGCACAAAAAAATACGATTTGGAAAGATTCATTCCAATAGCTCTTACACTGAGCGAAATATCTTCATTTTTGTGAAAGCTATATCCGATTGTTCCTATGGGAGCTATAGGATATAGACGTCCGATCGGGTCGGCTTTCAAACTTGATCTGCGTACACATGTTTTAGGACGACTGTGAAAGTTTCAAGGCGCTAGCTTTTAAACTGAGCTCGCAAACGGTATTGAAACAGACATACAGACGGACAGACGGACAGACGGACAGACGGACAGACGGACAGACGGACAGACGGTCAGACGGACAGACGGACAGACGGACAGACGGACAGACGGACATGGCTATATCGACTCCCCTATTGATCCTGATCAAGAATATATATACTTTATGGGGTCGGAAACGTCTCCTTCACTGCGTTACAAACTTCTGACCAAAATTATAATACCCTCTGCAAGGGTATAAAAATGTCATTTTGTTCATGAAAATGCTTAAAACTTAAAACTTCAAAATTAACATTTCACTAAACTTTATACATACTCTTGCTTTTCCTCTAAAAACCTAAAAATTTCCCACAGCTTACAAACAGAAGGGATCTATGATTAATGACAATTAGAATAAGTAGTCCGTTTAGCAGCACTGATATTATGGCGTAGCCCCCTTTAAATTAATAAGCACCTCCTTTCAGATTCCCAGCAGAGGTAAGAGCCCAAACTAGAATATACCCCCAGTGATTATGCAAATGGGCAAACGGGTAATGAGCGGCATCCCATCTCGCGGCTTTTGTGGGTCGACAATTGTCGGTTCGCTCTTACTAATTCGGTTTAATTAAGGCGTTGCGGCGTTAATGAACCGTAAAACAAAGACCGGGCCAAAAGAGCCAGCACAGTGGGCCTAATAGCTTATTTTTCTTTTTTTTTCCAGCGAGTGAAAGAAGGGCAAGAGTCAAGACGCTAAAAACAAACGGCCAACTTTCCCGCTGTCAACAATGGGCAGCCGGCTGTCAGGTGGGCGTGGCCCTCGAGCTGTTCACATGTGTCTGTTTTCGAGTGCCTACTGTCTACTGTCTGCCGCCGCTAATGACAATGACTCCCCTCCCCAGTGGGTAAAAGTGGCGAGCGGCCAGAGAAATCCTCCAATTCGGATTCGCGCAGAGCTGTGAAAGCTGCGAAAAGCGAGTGACTTTGGCCCTAGAATAAAGTTGTTATTATTGTTGCATGCACAGGGAAGAGGGGACCGCAAACGATCTAGAAAGTGACGGAAAGTTTTCACACTTTGGCATGAATTTTATGAAAGTTCATAGCTATTGTTTTGGGTGTGTAGGAAAGTTAAGGAAAATAATAAATAAAAACTAAAAATTAAACTAAATAATAAATCTGTTCATTTAATTTTACTAAAAGTTTATCGCTTAATTCGTTGGATTATAAATAAAATAAAATGTTGTAACCTTAAGTTTATTTTTTAGATTTTTTTGTTTCAAGTTCGTTGCCTAAGTCTTTTGATTTTACATATATTCTTGCAAAAGTTCGGTCCGTTCTACGGTCTAGAATTTTGTGCTGATTCAGCGGCTTGAGCTTAAGACACCCTTCTAAAATTGTGAAAGGAACCAATGACAGATCATAACACTCGCACCGAATGTTATTTTTTTCGCTCCCCGGCTGTTTTGTCTTCAAGCGAAATCAACCCACACGATTAAACATTAAATAAGCTAACGCACTAACGGGCTGCGACATGATCATTATGCAGATTTATGACTTCAACACTTGCAACTGATAGTGCGGCCAGCCCCCTTCTGCCACCCCCCCTGCAGCCCCTTCACCTACGCCCCTGACCATTTCGTTGTTAACAAAGTTGTTTGTTTATGAGGCGCTTGGCTTGAATTATGGCTGGAAATTAACAACAATTTAGCGGCTCAGACTTGTCGCCAGCTTCCACAGCCATTAGCAACGACACTTGCCCAGATCGGATCGGTTCGGTTTGGATCGGCTCCGATAAGTACCGGGTTATATACGCGCATATATACGATCTTTGGATCGTAGCATATGCTGATGCTGGGCCCATATCTATTTGGGCCCCAAGTGGGCGTATCGAATTGCCTTTAATTAATCATTTTGTCATAGTACTCAGCTCTAATTAAATTCAATTTCAATTTCAAGAATCGATCACTTGGCCCGTCGTCAGGTTGAAAAATGGTTATTAAACTATTGCGAAATCTCGTCTGGGGCCAAGCGCTCTAATTGGTTTTACTTTACTCTTTT